ATCGGGAAAAGTGACTAGAGACATCTTGCCTTGTTGAGCCTATGGGGGCACTGACAACAGAATAAGGCACGATAATACTTGGACCATTTTGATTTGCGATGAAGTGAAATTATTATTATATTTACGGACTTGCAGCTGGCTTGTATGTAAACATTTTATTGGATTTTTTGTAGAATTTAATCATATGGACGAACTTCCCTTTTAATCAGTGAAGCAACTGCGCTTTTCTAACACTAAATATACAGAATTGTGCAAGTTTTTGTCAGGTGCACTTTAAAAAAAATAACAGGATTTGAGCTAATAACATTGAGTTGAATGTGTATATCTGTTTTGTTTAGTTGTATTTACTCATTAAATACATTTTTTGTGACTTTTCAGTGTACAATTTTTCACAGTCTGGGTTTTATATTTTTATTTCAACTGGAATTTTTTCTAAGTTTGAAAGAAGAAACCAAAGAGAAGATTGAAAGTAGTTTTTCAGTTACTAATCAAAGCACAAACAGATGCAAATTTATAACACTGTGTAAAATATTTTTGCAGTGTTTTGATAATTATTGTCCAAAAGTGTTTTCATAAATGAATATTAGTGATTTGCAATGAGTGAAAGACTGAAGTATGTGTATTTTTTGTTTAGTTAAGACACAACAGTGCTGCAGCGAGTGAATTTTAAAACCTTTACTTAGCTTTCTATTCTTAATCATCTTTCTCTAACGTTCTTGCGAGTCGTGATTAGTGCCTTGGCAAAGATCACACCAAATGTATTTTCAAAAAGTGACAAACCTACTGTTCATAGAAATTTCTCCATTTCTTAAAACCTTCTTAAAATGTGTTCACTTAGTCATTGCGAGATAGGGATGTAACAATATGTAAATCTGGTGGTAACAGATTGTCTAGATATTGGTAGAGATGCAACAGAACTGAAGAAACACTGATTTTCCTTTAAAGACTTAACGAATCTTTGGTGTTGTGTTACGGTCAATGACCCAAGAATGAATATTGAGATGTTTTTTTATATCTTTACATTGAAATGGAGCAAAGGATCATGGTCTATGTCAAAGGGTCCAAACTTTTCTTCATCAAGGGCCAAATATCAAAAAGGAAAAACACAGTAACTGCACTGACGGTTAAACAGGAAAGTGGTTTAAAGTAGTGATGTTGTCTGTCTTGTGTGTGTCAGAGGTAAACTTATGAAAGTGTGTTGTGTTGATGAGGTCATATTTATGAATCAGTCATCGCCACTGGTTTGACCTTTGACCTCTAAGTGTACAGTTAAAGTACAGATGAGGTGGTCAGAGAAAATCATATTTGAGGAGATCTTTTACTGCCAAAAAACATTACGCATTTAAATTTTTGTGCTGAATAAGAAATTATGAAAGTTTCAAGTTTGTATTTTGTCCCATTTCAGAATTAGACTTAAAAAGCTGTTGCAGAATCTGTGGGTTGTGTAAAACTGTCCAGTAAAACAACACAACAGTCAGTGTCTGTTTGGATTCATCAGTTACCTTATTTGCTGCTGCACTTTCTGGATTTTTCCTCTGAATCGCTGAAGAAACTGGAGTAACTGCAAATTTCACAACAGGATTTCTCCAAAACAAAACAGAGTTGAGCCATCAAACTTTGTCATCAAATAAAACGGGTGTTAAGGTGTTTTTGGTCAGTTTTGACAAAGTACAGTTACTGTGTTTTTCCTCTAGGGCAGCATGACTGATGGTCGACAGGTTCTGTTCACTCTTACGTCACAAACCAGGGAGATGTTTGGAAACATGCGATGACAACTTCCTTTGGGCTGTGTTCGCTGTAGCAAGTCTGAGAAAATCTAGTTATTGTAGAGTTCCTTTATGTTCGGTGAATCAACAATTCCAACCATCCCTCAGTTTTCATCATTTCCACTGACACACAACTCTGAGTGCACTGGTACATGTGATTAGAAGAGATGAGGCCAAACTCCAGATGATTCCAAACAGCACATACATCTGCAGTTTTCATTTTACCTCTGATCACTTTTACTTCAGTGAGTTTGATCACAGTCGGTCGAGCCCAGTGTCTGGAACTACACCGGAAGTTGTCATCGCAAACGTCTTCCTGGTTTGTGACATAAGTGTGAATACAGCTTGTTGAGTGACTAATTCAAACATGTGCGTTGTGACAGGACAGAACAGGCTCCGGTCTTTTATTCAAGCTTAGATCTTCAGTCGGTTTTATCCCTTGGCTTTATCAAGGTGAAATTTCAAAAACCTGGAGTGCAGAATTCGACATATGTTTCAGTCCACGATATTATTTTGAGAACTTTGACAATACGATCATCAGTCTTTAAGTTGATACTTTGCAGCTGACGTCATCAACATTCCCTGGGGATGAGAAGCTAACTGAAAGCACGACTACTTTAATCTGAAGTTTATTTGAACACAGTCTGAGCAGAACTGACTTGGCACAAAGCAGCTCACCTGTTGGAGTTCCAGCTGTTAAACAAATAACAATGGCCAACAGTTTTTGAAGTAGTCGCTCTCACCTTGCCTCACCGGATGATCTTAACACTCTTCTAACAGTGCTGGTTAATGTTTGCATCCTGTCTCCATGGTAACTGAACACTGCCGCCGACAAAGATGCACGCAGAACACCCCCAGCGCAATGTCACTGCAAAGTATCAACAGTTACATCCCTATAACTGTGAGACATGACCCAGCGCCTTGGCAGGGGTCTAATAATGTGTAGAGTTGAATGGATGCACCTGTCAAAAACATTGGCACACTGTATATTAGACCATCTCTTCATTTCCACAAAAGCAGTATTGGTCTGGGCACTACAACTTTACCATTGCGAGAACGAACCAGCGCCTTGGTACACACCTACAAGTGCTTCTAGTATTTGCCTAGTTTTCCTACACCTTTCGCTGCTAATTTGAAGTAATGCTACAAACTTTTACAATCACAAGTTGACAAACAATATAGAAACGCTAGATTTTTCGACTGGAGCGGTATTGCCTTTGGTGTGGCCTCAGCTTTCTATCCGAGAAATGGGGCTTTGAGAAAACAACGATAGCATGTTCTGAATTTTACGCAGCTAAAAGGAGCTAAAGATTGAACCCCACCTATTCGACAAACAAGCCATGATTATCAAAAGCGGTAATCTTGACCCCAAAACGTTGAATTTTACAAGCAAAAAAAATGGCACGGCGTCTTTTCAGTGTCCGTTAAATGTTCAAAAGACGGAGGAGGACATCGTGGGTGGACATTGGAGATTTGCGAAAGGTTTTTGGGGCTTGTCTCGGTGGCAGCTGCTGTTTTGCTGATTTCCGGTTCTGACTTTGGTCGAATTTTCTGATGTTTTTTTTTTTTGTTTGTTTTGTTTTTGATTTTCAGTCGTGTTTTAGGTGGTCCTTGATGTCCTCTTCATCTGTGTACTCCGACGGTTCATCTCCGGGCTTCAGCAACCTCCCCACATAGTCGTACTTTTCTGAAATGGAGGAAAAAAAAAAAAAAAAAACATTAATATTCAGTCTTATGCATCACCACTCACAAACCACATTTTAACATACAGACGGTAAGTTTAGTTAAAGTGCAACCTTAGTTAAAGGTGCACTGTGTAACTTTTCTGCTGGAGGGTCCGTCAAATGCGTTTGTCCATGGAGATGTTATTGCTTTGTCTGGAATGTTTCACAGTATGGCATTAAACCTTTCAATCTACGTGGAGACCAAACCAGACCAAGTTACAGGTCAGATCTGTGGAGAGGCGAGTCCGTTTTTCTATAAAACCACCTGTAACTGAATAAATGTACAGTAGAGCTGTTTAATCAATCAAACTTTATTTGTAGAGTTTCATCCACACAGCAGTGTCACTCAAGCATAAAACATTAAGCTCCTAAAGGTTAGACTAAAAATAAAAAAAGGAGAACTAAAAATAGATGAAGACTAAGTAAAATAATAATAAAAATAATTTAATTTAAAACAAATATGATAATTAAATTTAAAACAAATAAAAGTTTCAATTAAAAGCTAAATTAAAAATATAGGTTTTGAGTTTATTTTTAAAAATCTGAACACTGGCAGTGGACCTCAGATCCTCAGGTCGATTGTTCCACAGACGGGGGCTGTAAAAGCTGAATGACGCCTCAGTGTGAGTTTGAGTTTGGGACAGTTCAAAGATGAGAACTGAGGACCTGAGAGTTTGAGAGGCTCATGTGATAAAAGCAGATCAGATAGATAAATAAACAGGACTAAGACCATTAAGAGCTTTACAAACCAATAAAAGAATTTTAAAATCAGTACTGAAGTTCACAGAAGTCAGTGCAGACACTTCAGTCCTCGTGTGATGTGCCCTCTCTTCTGCTCCTCTTGGAAGAGCAGAAAGAAGAACATTACAGTCATCAACACGGTTTGGAATAAAAGTATGTCTCAAAGTCTCTGCACTGGATGAGAGAGACATGCTCTTACTCTGGCAATATTTTTTCGATGATAACAGATTTAATGTCACACTGTGAAACATTCCAGGCAGAGCAATGACATCTCCATAAAAACAAGCAGAACCCCCAACCAAAATGTTACATAGTACAAAAATACAGAAAGTAGTGATGAGTTGTAAAATGAAATACACAGAATGAAGACATTTAAAAATCCAGATTTAACAAAAGAATGTTGTTGTTGTTTTTTTTTTTTTTTCTACGCGTCTTAAATCTGCTGTCCACATCCAACCAGGACGTAGAATTATAAACTTCACCAAAAATAGAAGCTAGAATAAAAGTATTAGGTTGCAGCCACATTGAGCACACAGCTGTGTATGAGCTCTAAATGTATCATGGGTTGCACCTTTACAGTTTAGGGCAGTTAAAGGTGCGACAGATGTGTTTGTGTTTAGATCTTTGTAATTGAATAACAATAATCAGGTTTGCAAAGCTAAAATAAACCTTTGTATTGCATTAAAAGCTCTGGTTTCCTGATCGATCGGCTGCACTGGCCTCCTCCCTCTGCGCTGGACAGAAGGGACAGTGAGCCTGGGTCTCCTGTACGAGCAACTCTCGTTTTATTGATCCATTTCTACCTGATGAAAGGGTGAGCTGTAATCTGATCAGGTCTGGTTTACAGCTCAGGAGTTTATCTTTCAAGTGGACAGTTTAGTATTTCGGACCCAGTAAACACCAGGATACTATAGAATAGAATGGAATAGAATAGAAAGTGTTTATTATCATTACACTGTGTATAATGAGATGCAGAGCTGCTCCTTCACAGTGCACACAAATGAACAGTTCTCAGAGTAAACCTGAGTTTAGTATGGTGACAGCTTTGGGAAATAGGTCGGTCATTTTGGAGAAGCGTTTAGGGATGTAGTGCTTTAGTTGATTAATAATTGATGTTCTATGATACAGGTTTCTATGGGACAACAACAGAACGGAGAAGTGAGAAAGTGAGTTGAACATTTGGTGTTTTTTGGTATTGATAAAAGGTCAGATGAAACGTCAGTGACTCTGCTTTAGCCTAAAGGATTTCAGAGAGCCTCCTCCTCTCCTCTTTTTTACTAAAGGTGCATTGCACAACTTTTCTGGAGGAGGATCCATCACGTGCTTTTCTCCATGGAGATGTAATTGCTTTGTCTGGAATATTTCACAGTATGGCATTAAAACTGTCAGATCTGTGGAGAGGCGACCCTTCTCTCAGTCAGAACGTCTGTTTTTCTAGGTATTTTTGAGCCTGTTTTTCAACTGAATAAATGTAAAGTAGAACTGTTTAATGTCACACTGTGGAACATTCCAGGCATAACAACACTATCTCCATGGAGACATGGCAGTGGCAGACACTCCACCAGAAAAGTTCCATAGTGCAGCTTGAAATGACGTTTATTTGAGAATTATAATCAAATGAATATCTTGTGAGGCACCAGTAGTTAGAGTTGAACTTAGAGGACAGCAAAAGAATCTAACAAATAAAATCAATATGCAGATTTGTAAAGACTGGACCCATTCACATGAAACAAAAGCTAGCACAAAGTTCAATGTTTTACATTTGCAAACATGTAAAACTGTGACATTTGCATTTGAGTGTATAGTAAAAAAAAACTGCTCACATGTTCACGGTCAGGTGAAACGCATCAGTCGTGTTATCAGTAAATGTCATGAGTCATCACAGTTTTGTTTCGGGTTAAATTTGAACCTAAACATAAACCTGTGTCTAACTGATAAACCATGGACTTAAAGGACCTAAATGTAAAATTCAAACCATGAACTGCCTCTGTACTGTATGACGCTCTCCATGTAAACAGCTGAATGGTCTAAATCTGATACTGTATTTAGAGAAGGGCAAGAAACCAAATGAATTCAGTTAATTTCTGGTTTTAATGGCTGCGTTAGACTAGGACTATGTTCTGATGCTAAAAATCCCGATACTGGTCCGATACCATAATCAGCACTAGTATAGTTAAGGGATGGGACAAGATCTAGTGAGACAAAATTACCACAAGAAAAATTATCTTGTGAGATTTTCCCCCATGAATTAACCTTTACCTTAGACAGAAAAAACAGCTGGTGAGGTGTACAGTTTGAGTTGTAGTTTCAAAAAGCAGTACTACAATGACCATAAAAAAAATAAAAATAGTGAAGCCAAAATTGTGTATGGATTGCACTGCTTCTTGGTAAAAAATGATGTCAAATCTGGTCTTGTCTTGTTCTCATCTCGCGGTGTGTCTCGTCCCTCCCCTAATAGTTCACATAAGGGAGGCAGCCTGGGTGGAAGTGTAGTTTAAACCTTCACTGTCCTAAAAGTCACCTGGTCTTGGTCAAGTTCTGGTACTGGCAGTTATCCTAACAGAATCTAAAGTGAAACCACTGGAGCGGTGCACCTCTGTTTCTGATGTCTGTTGTGTTTTAAGAAACAAATAATAAAGACTGATGGTTTTACACATGAAGTGCATCTCCCACATGCTCTCCATCTGAACAGAAGGTCTACTTTACTCCATCTGTCTTCATACTTGACCTGATACAAGAAAACTCAAATAATATTCAATTTGTCTAAAAGTACTTGATAAGCCACAGCTTTATTCAGTATAATAAAGCTGAGTGAGTTACAGTTCATTAGTATACACACTTTCCATCTGAACAGCTGTAAGGTCTATACATCTGCCTTAATATTTCATCTCATTAACATATATTTGAATGTTTAAAACTAATACTAAGAAAACGTACATAACCCAAAGCTTTATAGGGAATGGGAATGGAAGCGGGCTGCACAGTGCATTCTGGGACAAAAACAATACGTGTCGCCGTGACAGTATGCACGAAGAAGAACTGAGTGAGAAGTGAGAGAGCTAGTATCTGCAGTTTAGTTTAGTTTAGAATGTTTAAAACTAGTGGAAAAGAACGCCAGGGCCTGTACAGGGACTAACTCCAGCTGGACGAGAGGAGACACTATCTGGAAAAAATCCATTTGATCGGTGATATGGAGCCTTATGAGATACCTGCAAAACAATGGACTCCAGACCCTGATGCTTTACCTCTGCTGATATTCTCAGATATTGTGGCATATTTAGTATGTGGAGTGAGTGCTTATACCGATGCTCAGTTTCAGAATTCTAAGTCTTTGGAAGCACATGTTCACTTTACAAATGGTTATGTACATGACTTGGAAATCATCAAACAGTATTCGTACCATTCGTACCATGGCAAGTGTGTTCTTTAAAGCCTTTTCAGTTGGTGTAGGGTGCAGTGCTTCCCAAATGTTTGCAGTATGGTTGGGATAAATCTTCATGATGAGCTTCATGATTACCATGAAACAGCATGTTCTGCTGTTGGGCAACTTCAGCACATTTATCTGCTCGCCCAGTACTGCCTCTGTGCAACTAAGGAGCTGTTAGGGCAGTGTAGTCACAAATGTCCCACTTCTGATTATATTGTGCTCAAATGACTTGCCCTTCCGAACGTGTGAACAGACAGTACACCCGACAACAGAACAAGTATGTCCCATGACAGACAGACTGACAGAGCTTTATCTACCACTTTCACTGAACACGGAAAAAATGTGGCACCTAGTGGGCGTTTCCTTCTCACGCGTAAAGTCGTGTGACGTCACATTCCCATTCCCAATTCAGTACAATGCAGATAAACATGTGTGTGTTACTCATGAACTGTAACTCCCACTCTCCAACGCTCTCCATCTGAACAGCTGTAAGGTTTATATTTTGGATCATTTACGAATCCCTCTGATTAAACCTAAAAGATTATGTACTGAAATGTCTGTAAGGTTAATTCATTTACTCATACATTGAACAGAGTTGAATGTGTGCGTTACTCATGAATTGCATCTCGCACTCTACACACTCTCCCTCTGAACAGCTGTAAGTTTTACACATCTGCCTTAATGTTTCACCCGATCTAAATATATTCTACTATTATACTTGATCTGAAACTAATACTAATAAAAAGTAAATAACCCAGTGTAACAGGGTTGAATGTGTTACCCATGAACTGCATCTCCCACTCCCGCACGCTCTCCATCTGAACTGCTGTAAGGTCGGAGAGGTCGTCGTACTCCTCCCTCAGAGCTCCTTTCTCCAGACAGAACGTGGCCAGACCCCGAGAGGCGTCACGGCCAGCGAAGATCCCGTACGGACCATCTGAAAGACAGACAGAGAGAGGAGGGAGAGAGGAGGGGGAGAAACAGGAGAGAGAGTGTGGAGAAAGAAGTAAGAGGCAGAGAGGAAGAAAAAGAAACAGTGAGAAAAAGAGAGAGAGAGAGATGTGAGTTAAAAGAGGAAAGAAGGAGAGGTGGAGAGATGGGAAAGGAACAAAGAGAACAAGAGGATAAAGGTAAAGAGAGAAACAAGAAAGGAGAAGGGGGCAGATGAGATAGACAGAGAGAAAGAGGATAGGGGAAGAGTATGGGAATGTATGGGAAAAGAGAGACGTGAAAAAGAAGAGGGAGAGAGATTAGTGCTGTTGTAAGGGCCACTCATTTCCTGTTGAAGTCTTTACAGTGAAATTCTGAAGAAACAGCTTAACCTGCCCATGTGACCTCCTCTGTGCGTCCTGTGACCTCTGAGTGGTGTTTTTTTTTTTTTGCATTTGAGGAAAATATGTGAAATTCTGCAGAGGAGTTCAAACATGTTTAAATACAGACCACACATACTTGAGTCCAGGTGAAAAAGGAGACGGGGAATGTAACTGTAAGCTTGTATTTTAGAATTTGCTTCCTGTTGTAATATTTGTTCTACTTTTGTGGTCGATAACAAATGTCAAGATTTCAGAGTCTCGATCACGGCCCATAAATTGTAGTCAAGTTGTCGTACAGTTCAGCAATTAAGGAAGGTGTATTTATTTACCCATGTTATTGCAGTTTCACTTTATAATGATTGAGTAAACATTCAGCCTCCTCCTTAGGTCCATTGTGTTTCCATTTCAATTGGGAACACTGAAAGAGGAACAATTTTCAACATTATTCAAAAGGTGTTGGAGAATAGTTTATAGTGGGCAGGAGGCAGGTGAGAGTCTCAGGTGGAGTTTTCTGTGTAACTGTCAGATGTAGATTTGTTGACCTGGTTTATGGTTCATATTTGTGTAATCACTGGGCCTATCCACATCAAACATAAACTGGCACAAAGTTCAGCGTTTTCTCTGTCAAAATAAATAAACAAAAGTCAATGATTTTTTTCACAATAGCCTCAGAAAGTGGTGGCCTTACAAAGACGTGAGCGTCGTCAGTTAAAAGGACTTTAAGACATAAGAATATGTTTGTGGAGGTGAACCCAAACAAAGAGCGATCAGATGGAAGTTTGGAGATTTATTTCAAAAACATTAAAATGGTAAACGGTCACATTTTTCTACAGCGCTTTTCCACCTGCAAGGCTCAAAGCTCTTTACAACAAGGAACCACTCCCACATTCACACACACACTCACACACCAGGGTACACAGACACTGGGGGCGAGGTGGGTTAAGTGTCTTGCCCAAGGACATAACGACAGCATTCATCTGTGGGAGCTGGAATCACACTGCCAACCTGTGGGTCAGTGGATCTGATGCTCAACCTGTGATGTTTATGTTGAGAGCGGGATTCAAACCACTGACCTTCTGATCAGTGGACAAAAGTTCTACCAACTGAGCTACTGTCGTCACCAAATAAACAAAAGTGAAATGATTTGTCCACAGTTGCTTCAAAAAGTGGTGCCATTACTCAAACCTCAAAGATGTGCCGTCAATTAAAAGCCCAGTGTCGGGAACTAGACCAGAAGTCATCATCAGTATGTTTCTAAACATCTTCTGGTAAGTGGGAATAGAGCCGATCTTTGTTGAAATGACAGAGTGACTGCACTGTCATTCTGTTGCTTATTTAGTGCAAGAAAACTAGTTTATGTGACACACTTCACATGTTCACTGTTTAATAGGGATGTAACAATAATCCAAATATCATCATATCGTATTGTCAAAAGTCTCAATAATATCGTGGGCCATTACAATATATCAAATAACAAGTCTTTTCGTTTAATTTAATAGTTATGGTGCAGCAATAGCTAAAAAAAAGAACTACACAGACCATGATCCTTTGCTCTGTTTCAGTCCAATCTACATGCTGAAATGAGTTATTAAGCACTTTTCAATCTTAATTATTTGATTATGATGAGAGAAAAGTAGCATAAACACAAGTTTGTGAGCCTCCTCAAAATATCCCAATAAATATCAAACCGTCAGATGTGTAATGTGAAAATGCCGCATTGAAAGATTTAGATATTGTTATAATCCCCACAGTTTTGATGATTAAAACAGATGTGTTTCATATTAACTTTGTACAGTAGTGTTGGTTTAACAGAGAAATATGGTTGCTAAAATGTATTTGGTGCTTAAAAAACAGCAGCATACCAGAGTATCATGTGTAATATATCAATAATCACATGTATGACTGAAAGGTTTTAATTCTGCACTCTTCTCTCTTCTTTTTATATTGGTTATTTATCATTTGAGTAGTTTGTCTTGTGACTTTAATGTCTTTCTTGTTCTGTAAAGCACTTTGAATTACTTTGTGTATAAATTTTGCTTTACAAATAAACTTGCCTTGTCTTGTATCTCCATATCATGATAATATCAAATATCGTATTGAACCACGAGAGACCGTGTGATTGGCAGCTCTGTCACACAGTGTTGATTGACTTGTGTGTTGATGTTTAGTGTGTTTTCCTCTGGTGTTGTTCGGGTGAAAGTGGCTGGGCTGTGAGGAGGTCATCTGACAGACATGTGAAAGCTGCAGCCTGGAGCCAAACACTCAACAAACTCTTATCTCAGAGATTAAACCTGCTCCAACCTCACATTCACTGGAGCGCACAGTCTGATATGGCAAAGATAAAGTGCACTTGGAGTGAATATCAAGATTTATGAATGGAAGCTGTTTAAAGGTGCACTGTGGAACTTTTCTGCTGAGTTTAATCACAATTGAAATTTGAATGGATGGAATTAGCAAAACTTAAAGGCTGAAATTTTTTGAAGTACCATAATATCCTCCACAAACAACATTTCCAAAAAGTCTTATACATTTAAAAGGTGCATTATGGAACTTTTCTGGTGGAGAGGTTTCACAGTGTGGTATTAAATCTTTCTATCTCCATGATCTGTGGAGAGGCGACCCCGCTCACAGTCACAATGTCTGTTTTGTCTGTTCCAAAATTAAGAAGTGTAGTTGTTGTTAGCTTTCCGTCGCTGCATAAACCCACTAGTGGTGTGGAAAGTTGTGAAAAGTGCTTAGAAACTTGTTTAAAATTTGTGGTTTTCATGTTTGCAGTAAAGATCAGGTCCAGAGCCTTTGAACCTCTACAAATGTGTTTGGAAATGTTTGGAATTCTGGTAGTTCAGACTTCAGTTGCTTGAATGTTGATGGAATGAAATAAAACTGCTCATGTGTAAATTAATTCATTTCAGTGAGTCAGGTTTAGGTGTGGCAGCAGCAATAAAAGACGTCAATAAGCAAAAACAAATGAAAGGAGCTGTACCTGATTTTTACAGTCTTAAAAACATAAAAACAGAACTAGTTCACTGTCAACAGTTTGCAGTGCTCCAAAGTTCTTCCTCACTTCCTTTATGCATTCAGAACATCCTCATTATTCACCTCAGTGAATTTATAAGAGCTTTTCACAACTTTCAGAGACCAGACAGGATTTTCAGACATGCTGAAGCACAGAATAAGCATGCTAATGTGCACTTTCTGATGATCAGACATAAAATACTTTCTAATTAGATGCAGACAGTACAAGAAAATCAACTGGAATGTTCCCCTGGCTGGAAGGTCATTTTTCATAGCTTACATATTTCACTGAAATGCATAGTTCAGAACTTCCTCACAGTGATTCTGAATCATTTTTCAACAAATTCTGTAGCTTTAGTTTTTTGTGTTGCTCTACTTGCAATTTATGTTTATGGCATGTAAGAAAAGAATTCATATTTTCCAAATCAACAGTTACAGATGCTATAGGACATGGGGAACAAAAAAACTATATATAAATAAGATTTCTTAGTGAACTTCTGCGAGCAAGTGAGGATTATATTGATATTACAGACTGAAAAATGCGTGCGGTTTCAGGAAGATCTAAGACTAATACAAATCCAATCTTTATCTTGCAAAAAAGGCAATAAAAGCATCACATTATCAACTTATAATAAACCAACCAATGCATTATTTATAAACCTTCAAACTCTGAAATTTTACTTTTTATTCAACCTTTACACTTTGAAAATCATTTTCAACGTAAACAACAATCTATTGTCAAAATCATTACAGAATATATCTAAAATCTGAAATAGCCAATATGAGCTCAGAGGTATGGCCACATTTATCAAAAAGAAAATCAGAACAAACATTATGAAATGTTGTGAATCTGTTAAAGGGCTGAGCTCTGGAACAACTGGACAGAAAACCTCAAACTGTGTACCACTCTCTTCTCTTCTAAAGAAGTTTAAATGTTTCACTCTGGGCAGATTCATGAATGATGAGACTCATGAAGATGAACTGGTGTCAGGATGAAGCTCTGACAAAGGAATAAGCTTCAGTCTACACCTTTTTGGTCTGTGTATGTTAAATATGTCTGTCTGTGAAATAATGTCAGAATATACCTGTGACTAAATTAATCAATCAATTTTATTAGGATATAGACTGATAATTTTGTAACTCAATACATCACAGTGCGTGACATGGCTGACTAAAAGTCGGCGAGAACACCCCCCCACCCGGACACAGCAGGTACCCGTGTGCTGCCCAGGACAAGGGGGAGCTCGGAGGGAATAGGGGGAGGTTCCCGCTGAGACAATGGGACGCTTGAGCAGGGTGACCTCAAGAGCTGCTTATACAATATATCTTTCCTCAAATACAAGAGGAAATTCAGGGCCTTTAATTATTGCTTTTATTTATGATTTAGTACTTTGGAAACCGTCCTGTTGATAACATGTGCTCTAGAAATAAAGTGAACTGGATTAATTCAAAAATGTTTGCAGTGTGGTTGCTAGGTGACAGAATGACCTCTCTGTATGTCGTATGTGTTGCCTGTGTCCAACCGGGACAACGTGAAATCATAAACTTCACCAAAATGTTCAAACTTGGAAAAACTATAGGGAAGATTCTGGTTAAATGCATTTGCGTTCACAGCGTTTGAGTGAAGAGAGTAGTGGAACCTGTCATGTGCACGGTAAAAGCTTCAGGCTGTTACAGTTAAATAAGCAGGTCGTTATGCAGAGTTCTTCAGAACACGTCTCACCTCCAACTCTAACCCCCACTAAAGAAGATTAACTGTTTGACACAAATGACTGACTTTGATTTAGTTAGACCGAGTGCATTTAAGGCTTCATTTTCAGGTCACATGTGGCACTGCAGCTTGGAGGGGGTTCTATATGTATGTCTACGGTGGAATGGTCAGCAATTACCATGAAGATGCAGAGCACACATTTGCAACAAAAAGTTTTAAGATTGTCTGAAAAATACAAAATGGATGTAAGCAGCACATTTTCAGGAGCTTGTGATCAGTCCAAGTGTTCACGATCCTGTTTATAAACTTTGACTGTCAAGCTCACCTGCTGAAGCTCAGCTGAGTCAGCTCTTTCTCGTCAGATTGTGTTAGAACGGAGCTCAGATTAAAGTCTAACCTGACAGAGCAGTGCCTCAGTTAGCATCACGCTCCCAGGGAATATTGATGGTTCCATGCTGCCACCTGACGCGCTACTATTTAAACATTGACGTCCAGTTGTCGGAGTAGTGACAGAAACGTTATTTTTCAAGCGTCCCACTACGTTGACTTTTTATTCATTGTCGGAGAAGTGGCACTTTTTACAACTTTTCAAACATTTGGCTTTTCTGACATGAATAATATGAATGTGATAGCCTATTATACTTTGCACTCACATATATCAAAGAATACTTCAGCCGCATAGGAGATCAGACAGTGGAAAATGTCCTAACTGAGCCATGGGAAACAGTCATGCATTTAAAAAAAGAGCAAAAAATATCCAATCTAAAACAGAGGCTTGCATGGGCCTTTGTGCTTCATTCATTTGGTCATGTAGGTGATCTGTGGAGAACAATATACAGCCTAAAGAAATAACCAGTCAAGTTCACTGCACCAGCTCAATGACATGACCCTCTCAGCCCAAACACACACGACACCAACATATGACATGTCTGAACAGCGAAACTAAAAAGTGTCTTAATACCTGCTCGTCTAAACAGAGACATGTCGTAATGAAGGGATGTGGGAACAGGCGGCCGACTCCAATACTGAAATCATCAGCTGCAAAGTACCTACTGATTTTATTTAAAGATGCACTGAGGAACTTTTTGAGTGGAGGCTCCCAAATCTTCTTGCCTCCATGATGATGGAATTGCCTGCCTGGAAAGTTCCACAGTACGGTATTAAACTGATCAGTTTCCGTGGTGACACATCCAAGCACTTTTCAGCAATAAAATGACTGCGGCTGAACGAATGTGAGATTAAAGTTTAATGCCACACTGTGGAACATTGTGGATAACCACCACAAGAAATGGTCTATCAGTTATGAGCGACAGAGTATGGACAGAGAGATAAAAAACAAAAAGAGAAAAGGAAAGAGCGAAAGATAGAAAAGGAAGAGACACACAGAGAAATAGAAAGAATGAGAAAAAGAGAGGCCAGATAAGAGACCAGATAGAGAATGAGACAGAGAGAGAGACAGGAAAGAAAGAGAGATTGAGAGAGAGGAACGAAAGGAATGGAGAGGAAAGAAAGAAACAGAGAAAGAGTGATAGAGATAGAGAGGAAAGAACGTGCGACAGAGAGGAAAGAAAGAGACACACAAAAAGTGTGTGAGACAAAGAGGAAAGAAAGAGAAATACAGACCAAGAGGAAAGAGACAGAGAAAGAGTGACAGACCAAGAGATAGAAAGAGAGAGCAAAGAGATAGAGAAAAGAAACAGAGATACAGAGGCAGAAAGAGAGAGCGGAGTGAAACAGAGACATAAAAGTAAGGAAAGAAACAGAGCAATAGGAAAGATAGATAGAGAAATATAGATAGATAGATAAAGACAGAGAGACAGATACAGAGATAGGAAAGAGAGCTAGGGAGAGAGAAAGAGAGAGAGAGGAGTGACACAGAGATAAAAACAAGGAAAGAGAGAAAGAGCAATAGGAGAGAGGGAGAGAGATAGATAGAGTGATATACGAGCTGAGCTGAAGTCACTGTGAATAATTATAGTTTATCAGAGAGTTGAAGGGTGAGTCAGCCAAGTCTCACGGCTCAGACACACAGACAGTTCACTGACACTAACCCTAACTCTACAACTTTTCACCTTTAAATCCTTTTAAATCTCATTTTTTCACCAATGAGATGAGGGCGGTACTAGAAAAATAGCCAATTGTGATTTTACAGACATGTTTTATGAGTAGTTTTGCAATTTCTGTTTTTAAATCGAGCTTAAGAATTAGCATGTCAGATTTTAAGCTTGTCCAGTAAAAGACTAAAAATGTAAGTGCAAAGCTACTACAAGAATCCCATGCATTTCAGAACATGTTTGGAGAGGCCTAAACTGGTTTTACAGCAACTTAAAGGTGCATTGTGTAACTTTTCTGGAAGTGGGTCTCTCACCTGCTTGTGTTCGTGGGGATGTTATAGCTGAAGTCCAGAATGTTTCACTGTATGGCATTAAACTTAACTTAATAACAACATTTCAATGGTGAACCCCCTACCAGAATAGGTCCATAGTGCACATTTAAATAATTTCAGCCTGATTTCCTAATTGCAGCCTTTCATAAAGCGATTTATCTTGCAGTCCTAAACCACACAGGATTTTGGTATTTGGAACAACTGCACTGGTCTGAAAATCCCAAGGACGTGTTAAATTCCAGTGTGGGGGCAAGTTGTGCTAAAAGTTGGAGTTTCCGGCAGAGAAGCGAGTTTGGGAATGTTTTGTAACAGAAGAACAACTAATTTGCAGTTTATTTTACTAAACAACCCATCAAATACCACAGAACTGTTATATTACAATCATGCAAAATGGGCTTCAGTTAGTTGAAAATGTAAAAAAATCTATCAAGTTATAAAAAGTTTATTTTATTTACTTTTACTACTACTACTACTACTACTGCTACTACTAGTGCGTATCAATTAGAAGTTGCCGATACGATACATACCTCGATACAAAAGCCACGATACGATACATATCTCGATACAATGAGCTTATGATTTGATACAATACAATATGATACATTTCAAATCGATTTCATATGGTTCAATAAAAATAAAGGATAACTCATGGCCGTGATACTAAAAGTCTTTGTTTAACCACTTCTTGTGCAAATTTTATATGTAACACACCCAGTTTAATCCTCAAAACTGTGAAAATGTCCAATGTGTTGCATAAACAAGTTTCCTTCCTCTGAACAAACACCAACACTGTAGTGCTGTAACAAAATAATTGAATTAAATATACCAAAAAATACTTTTGGTCATATATCGATACAACAGCCCAGGATACTGATACTGTATCATCATATTAAATTATATGATATATCGATATTACAATATTTTTGCACACCCCTACTACTACTACTACTACTACTACCACCTTGCTTAGTATCTGTTGCTTAAGCATTTAATTCGTATTTATTGCTTAAGTAACATTATTTATTTTATTGCATAAATATTTAAACTAAAACCTGGTCTCTAGCAAGAAAAACTACTTTTACACACCTAAAGTACTGCATTTGTACACGGAGCACTAGTACTTTGCGTAATGGCGAGTCTATTGCTATAAAGAGCATTAATGTTTGGTCTATCAACATGAGAATGGGCCATTATGTGTGCGCGGAATTAAGATCGAAGCTAATAGCGTTAACAGCGAAGAGACTTTTGCATGAGGAAAACTGTTTAACGTGTTCTCCAAGTAAACAAATCACTGTAACTTCGGCTGCGGGGGGAGATCTCTAAATTCTTGCTGAGTTTGCACTGCTGCAATATTTTGTAAGGTTAGATCGATCAAATGTGGGTAATGTGCACGCAGGTGGCTCCAGACAATCGCTGTCAACAAGCGGCGGGAGCACACAGCATGCTAACGAGCTAATGCTAACAGCTGTGTGCTTCAAAAGAGACCAGAAAACTCAAATAAACTCATTTTCAACAGAATAAAACACGGGGGCATACACGTGAATGTGTGTGTGTTAAATTGAGCGTGGTCAAACTGTTAAAGCATGAAAACAATGGAGTGTTATGCTAAGATGCTAACAGCTAGCCCCATTCAAAACAAAAGCAAAGGAGCTAATGCTAAGCTAACGTCAACGGTTTGCGCCCAAATTGTTGCCCGGGACAACCCGCCCGGAGCGGCAGAGACTGTCCGCTCCAGCCCGCTCTTTCCCCAGTGCTTCCACTCACCTTTACCGTAAAACTTCTTCCCGCTGGTCACGTCGAACACTTTCATGTTAACAGCCATGAGGATGCGCGGGTTCTGGAGGCCATCGTACTCCCGAAGCTGCTCCAGGGTGAAATCCCGTCTCCTCATTTTGGGCAACGCCGCGGCCTCGTCTCCCTGGGCCGCAGTGGAGTACAGCCGCCTGCCCCAGCGCCTGTACAGCACCACACACACGGCCGCTACCAGCACCAGCACGCCGACATTCAACAGCATCGTCCCGAGTCCCAGCCCGCCGTCCGCCGCCTCCTCCGCTGCCCCCTGCCCGCCGCTGTTGTCCACGGGTCCGCCGCTGGAAGTGTCCCCATCGTCCGCCATGCTCTCGGATAGCGCTGCCCGCGTTCACGGAGCGGCCACAGCAGCAGAAGTCCAGCTCTGCCGCGCGGTAAGTGCGTGTCGCTGCCGTGTGTCTGCCGCGCGGTGGGAGGGTGGGTGTGTGCGGAGAGCGTCTGTGCTGGAGTCTGTGCACAACAGAGAGTCTGTCTGCAGACCTGCACCCAGAGGAGCCTCCCCCTTGGTGCACCTCCACCCACATGCCCCTCACCAGTTTTCATTAGTTTATTTTATTAAACGATTTAATTACACAGTCGAAGACTCATTTCAAATGGTTTAGAGAGAAGCACTTCAAAGACATTTAATCACGATAGATTTCATTATAGTTTGAAGTTAAAGGTCCTATATTACACTAAATTCACTAGAGTAAGTTTAAGTACATGGATCTACAATAAGAACTTAATAAGGTATCTTAATAATAATATAACTCAATAAGAGCTTATTTTACTTCCATGTTTAAGCCATGTTATAATATCACCTGCTCAAAAACATGCCTGGAGCTGTTTTTTGTTTCATTCACACATGCAAAAAACAACATCACAAGGTGGAACAGAGCACTGTGCTACCTTGTGATGTCACAAAGCAGTAGTTTTCAAGTTATGTTTTAGCTTTTTTCAGTAGAGATGAGAAAAAAAACACAGTGGAGCACCTGTATTACCACATGACATCACAAGGTGGATGTGTTTTCAGGATAATGCTTTGGGTTTGTCTGTTTACTTTTCAGGAGCTGTGGATGGAGGTGCGTCCTGTGAGGGTCCTGTGGGTGGAGGTCTGTAGTCAGATCCCTCTCGCTCATGTACACAGGGAGGAGGGTTCCCAAACGGTGGCCCGGAGGCAAAGAGCGGGTCAGAGTGCACTTTATCTGGGTCATATAGATAAAAGCTGTGCCAGCGACATGAGAAAGGTAATTGCCAAATGCCCTTTGTTTAAAACCAGCAGGAGCAGTCTACAGGTGAAGGTAAAATAAACATAAGCACAGAGCATTGATTCAAATGTCTAAATCTCATAAGCCCTGGGCATTTCCAGACTAATAATAATAATAATTTAATAATTTAGATGAAATCACCTGTAGACTAAATCTTATATTAAGTCTTATGTTAAAGGGACATTTTTTTCTCTTCATTAGTGTATATGCTGTTTTAATTTAATTGAAAAACTTGTCAGTGAAATTACACTTAGCACAAGTCATGGAAGAATTATAAAAGAATGCATTAGGCAATTATTTAATATATGGACTTATAAACAGGCAACAAGCAGTTCAGACCTGAAAAGAGGAGTAGTAGTAATAGCAATAGCTGCAATAGTAGTATTAGTAGCAGTAGTAGTTCTAGTAATAGTAACAGTAGTAGTAGCTGTAGTAGTTGCCTAGAAGTAAAAGTTATTGACTACTACTGAGTACTATTCAAAATCCAGGTGATCAAAAATACAATATTGTTCTGTAACCTACAGCTCTGAGCTTCAATTTCCCTCTTTATTTCCTACACCAAAACCTCTTTGAACTCTTCAAAACACATTTCATAAAGTCGTAATAAGTCGAGCATTCCCACGTGTTTTTTCTTTTTTTCAGTGCCGCAGATGGAGCAGAGTTGGGGTGGAGCGCTCCTGGCATACTTCTGATATTTATAGAGTCCAGAGCAGCTCGTACAGAGGAAGCTGGAGAATGACAGGTATTTCTTACATTATAGTCAAAGAATACACCTTGTGAAGCCAACATTTACCCAGATGAAGTCACACTGTGAATGTGTTCTTAAATGGTCAGATCAAGAGGGAAAAAGGGATGTTACAGCAGAAAGAACATTGTGTACTTTTGTGTTGTAGTCGTAAAAATATAAATAAAACTTGTCCACCTCCTAACCAACTCGCTGACCTAAAAACATTGAAGAAGTTGTCAAATATTAAAGATGATTTGGTTTTAAATGTTCATGCCAGAAAATGTATTATGTAACTTTTCATGTGGGGAGGGGGGCATGTTACTTGCTTGTCTCCCTAGAGATGTTATTGTTTTGGAATGTTCCACAGTATTACATTAAAATGAATTAAAATTCATCTATGTAGACAAGCAGGTGACTCCCCCAAGTCAGATCTGTGGAGAGGCGAGCCCACTTACAGTAAAAATGCAGGTTTTTCAAGGTGTAAAAGTAACTGTATTTGAATAAATGCAACATAGATATGTTTTAGGATTTTGTAAATCATTCTACATTTTTTGCATTTATTGCTTTTATTGATACTAAAAGTCACATTCGTAGGACAGAAACAAACCTTTCAATCATTGTTATATCAGAATCAGTACTGCGTATCGAGTTTATTCCTTAGTGCTGAAATCAAGTTTGAAATTTTAAATAGTGACGGCACTATTGCGTAGTAAACTTTTTTTATTTGTAATGCATTGAAACTATTATCAGATTTTGAACTATAGTTTGGAAACTTTTATTGGTTGTTTAAAATTGGAAACATACATTAAAACATACATGTCAGTGCTCCAGATTTGATCATATAAGAAGTTTTGAAGGCCTATTCCCTGTTCTACAGGTCTTTTTGTCCTTTCCTATAAGCTGATTGTATCAATACTAAAAGTGTTAAGATCATCATTATGGTGTTTGACATGAAACAAAATAATAGCAAAGCATATCGAAGCACCTCGGATCTCTTCTTTCATCTAGTAAGTTATTCTGCCCACTCAGGATATGTGAAGAGCACCTGATTACTTCACTTGGTGATGATCCAGCGAGCGCTCCAACTACATCAATTTCTTTGCATTATCATCATTATATTGGAATCGGTATTGAGTATCGAGTCTATTCTTTAGTATTGAAATCAACTTTGACATTTTAAATAGTGTCAGCACTATTGTAGTCATTTTTAATTATTTGTAATGCACTGAAACTATTACTATCAGATTTTGAGCTTTATTATGGACACTTTTTGGGACAATATTCTAATGGTATTTTTATCCTTTAACATAAAGGTGCACTGTGTAACCTTTTAGTCAGGGTCTGTCACCTGCTTGTTTCTATGGAGATGTCATTGCTCTGCCTGGAATGTTCCACAGTGTGACATTAAACAGCTCTACTTTACATTTATTCAATTACAGGTGGTTTTATATGTCAAAAATACCTAGAAAAACAGACTTTCTGACTGTGAGCGCGGTCACCTCTCCACAGATCTGACCTGTAACTTGGTCTGATTTGGTCTCCATGAAGGGGAGAGATCCTCCACCAGAAAAGTTACACAGTGCAGCTTTAAGCATAGCCGTGTAAATCCTTGTAGAAACTGAAGAGCATTGGCTGACAGCTCACCTCACTTTCTTTGGGAACAGAATCCGACTGAGCAGGTTTGACTTTCAGCCTCAAGCAGCTTCTCAGAAAACACGAGAAAATTTTACAATGAACGTTCAGGTAGGTTTTTTTGCTTTTTTATTTTTACAATTATCCAACATGCATCAATACAAGATCCTAAAATTCACTCAAAATAAAACCAAAATACTACTGATAAAACTTTTCCAAAATCGAGAATATAATCGTATATAGCAAATGATTTTTATGTACATTTTTTAAAACTTTAAATCGCTAAAACCTTTTAAAATTCATATTCGATAAAGAAATTAAGTGCCCTAAAAGCACGAAAATAGAAGCCTCAAAACTTAATACAAGCTAAAATATAATGCGTAGCTAAAGCACACACAAACCCAACAGCTCATTACAACAAAATTAAAACACAATGATTATCTAAGACTATTGCATCAAATCATCAAAACTCAATGGTAAAAACAGCAATAAATTATAGTTTTGTTTTGGGACTAAAACATAATGTGGACATTTTAAGAGCTTTTTTTCAAGTTGGCAGTGTGTTAATAATGTATTTGGAGATGACTGTAAAATTATAGAAAAGAAGCAATACTTGATTTATCTACGAGGGATTAGGGAGGGCATCTGTCTTAAATCTGTAGTAAAAACCTTTGCGTGACAGTAGGCACATTTAATCTCTCCATGATTTCAATATTCCACTGTGCAATTTATAGTTGAAATGTTTTGTAAATTACTAGTTTGTGGCAAAATTGGCATCTTAAACTTAGAAAATATTTGTCGAGAAAATTCTGAAACTGCAAACTTTTCAAACATTTTAAAATTTTGATTTCTGTCGCTAAAAATGAAATAAAAACTAATTCACAGGTACTAAAACTTCATATATATTGTGAATTAACAAAACATTTTCCAATAGATTCGTACATAAATGCAAGTATAGGGTTTTTCTCAGATTGACTCAGGCCCATAAAGTTTAAAAAAATGAATGAACAAATGACATAGACCGCAAACGTTCAGAGCAGATCTACCATTACAAGAGTACCATTCAATTTTACTGTAAATATTCCATAATACAGCTTCAAAACTGCTCTCCCAGACTGAATAAACTCAATGATCGATGTGGGATTTTAATTAAGAAACATCTGACAGTTTGAGTTCAACCTAAGGGCGAATCTGCCACAACTCGAAAATACTCTGCTCTGATTGTCATGGGAACAAACTACCAAAACAGAAAAAAAAAGAAAAACTTAAAAGAAAACCATGGGAAAATGTGTTAAAACTTAAGGCACGTGTCACATTTTGTTTGGCACCAAAGAGACGGTAAAATGCAGGGAATGCATTTTCAGCTGTAAACGTTTTCGTAGAGGTTTCAAATGAAATGCTAAAAATGATGAATCTACGAAATATCTCAAGTCATTTAAAAACAGTGGAAGCCATTTTGTTTTGTTTTTTAAACACTTTTCAAACTTATGGCACAACTATAGCCAGGGTTCAGTTTTGTATTTGCATATTGTCTCTTCTCTTCATTCCCAAAACACTGACAGAAACTTGGCAGACATTTTGATTTCTGTTGTATTACAAACAGTTGGCTAATTGCTTGTCATTTTTCTCATAATAACAGATTAGATTCCATTTTATTCACACTGTAAGTATTCTAAACACTTTTTTCCCCGCCAATACTACCCCAGAACAGGCCAGTTCTCTTCTTTTGGGGGTATATTCCATTAAAATATTTTTTTCTCAATTTTTTTCATCGCTCTAATCGCAAATAATATTCTTTTCTTTTAAACTTTTAATGCTGATCTTTCTCAAACCTTCTAAAAACAACGGTAGCCATTTCGAATTTTTGAACCAATTAAATTACATGATATTTCGGTTCAAATGTCTGGATGATTGACCTTCTCCGCTTTCCCAAACAAAATCTATAATCAGGGGTTGCATTTTTTTGTTTTTGATCCAATTCTACTCCAAAACCTTTTATCTGGTTCTTTCTGTAGTCCTTCTTTGTGTTACATTCATTCACAAACCTGGCTAAAAATACAGCACACGTTTTGATTTCTCTCTTTAAAATCTGAGCTAGTTCCGTTCACTTCTTGGCATCTTTCTTCTAAAATCAGTGGTTGCCATTATTTTTATTTTTAATCCAATTCTATCCCAAAACATTTTAGCTGGTTCTGTCTGTTGTCCTTTTGTGGTACATTCATTCCCAAACCTCGCTAAAAATACGGGACCAATTTTGATTTCACTCTCCTCAGAATCTGAGCTAGTTACGTTCACTTTTTTGCGTCCTTCTTCTTATCGTTGGTAGAATCGGTTTTCTTGGCCTGAGTGGAGGTTGGTTTGGGGGCGGGGTCTTTGGCTGGTTCCTTCCCCGGGGCAGGGCTCTCTCTCAGGGCGGTGGAGGCGGCGGAGGAGGGGGCGGTGGAGGGGGCGGTGGAGGAGGCGGGAGGCGTGGGGCTGGAGGTCGGCTGGTTGTTGGCGGTGGAAGGTTTTGGAGCGGGTTTGGAGCCGCTGTTGGAGTTGTGTCGTCTCCGTCTGGACTCGTCTCCAGCCGAAGATGAGGTCCGTCTCCTGCGCCCGCCCTCCTCTCCCAACGGGGGCTGGACAGAGAGAAAAAGTTTAAAAAAGAGAGAGAGAATGGGAGAGAAAGAGAGTAAGAAAGAGATAAAGTTAGAGAGAGCAAGAAAAAAATGGGAGAGAGAAAAAGAGGGAGAAGGAAAGACTGGGAAAGAGAGAGAAAGAAAGAGAAAGAGAATGGGAGGTAGAAAGAGAGAGTGAGTATGGGTGAAAGAAAGAATGGGAGAGAGAAAGAAAGAAAAGAGAGGAGGGAGAGAGAGAAAAGAGAGAGTTTTGAAGGCCAGTATCACTACAGTGAAATCCTGTGATAAAAGACCATAGTGAAACAAGAACAATACACTAAGAGAATCACCGTGAGTCATTTTTAAAGGTGTATTGTGTAACTTTTGTGGCGGAGGGCCTGTCACCTGCTTGTTTCTATGGAGATGTCATTGCTCTGCCTGGAATGTTCCACAGTGTGACATTAAACAGCTCTACTTTACATTTATTCAATTACAGGTGGTTTTATAGCTCAAGAAAAACCTAAAAACACAAACACTGAGTGTGAGCGGGGTCGCCTCTCCACAGATCTGGTGCCTCATTTATAAAGCTCGCTTACACACTACACATGGCGTAGGTGCTCGCCAACGCCAACAGTGGCATTTAGAAAACTCCTCCTGAGCGCTGCACTTGGCTCCTCTCTCCTGCAGCTCGAACCTGCTGTGCACTCTACTGTACACAAAGTCTGGAGACACGGGGAAAAAGCGACACTCGTGGAGAGGAGCAGTATTCTCTACAATATGACACATTTGACACCGCACGCTCTTGTGCACTACCCATGTTTTCACTTTCTGACTTATGTCTTAGTTGACAAGAAATACAAATACTATTATTAACAGCAGTCTGATTTAGTCATGTTTACACTATAATTTTTGAGGGAAAACACAAACACACTAAATATACACATTTACACAAAAGTGGGGAACCCAAGCTTTGAAAAAAGTACTTCCAAAGTGGTGCCAGTGGCCAAACAGATAATTTCTGATGTGAACAGTGCGATGTGCCAAAGGGTTTAAAAGTTACGAATAAGAGGTTTATTTCTCCTTTCAGTTGAATCAAATCTCCTTTATCGACTCAAAAGGAAATTGTATAAATTAGCACTTTGCCTGAAACCAAAGAGTGTGTTCTTCCAACTTTATGTGACAAAATCCACAGCTAATAAACCGGTTATATGAAGTTTATTCAGTGCAGACATGTATATATATAAATTCATGGATACATTTTGGTGCGTGTTCAAAGGCATAGAATCTTGACCCAGAGGCAAATCTTATCTGGTCCCATCTGTATCCACATCCTCCTTAAAACTCATTAAACGACAATATTAATGCCCCTATATGACTCAAAACTGACTCTTATGAGTTTTAGTCATGTTGTTCCCTCCTCAAAAACACACCTGGAGTTGTGTTTTGTTTCATTCACACATGTTTGAGTAACTCTTTATTATTATTCTGTCTACATCTCCAAAGCTCCAAATGCTCTGTTCCACCTTGCGATGTCATGAAGTGGTAGATTTCAAGTTTAACTTTTCCTTTTGGTTCAGTAGAGATTGGCAATTCCAAGGCTAAATGATCCAAATTATTCTAGTGAAGGTGTGTGGAGTTTAAAAACACAGTGGAACACTTCCTGTATTACCACATGACATCACAAGGTGGAACAGAGTGTTTTCAGTTTGAGAGAAGAAGAACACAACTCCAGGGGTGTTTGTGTTGAGGAAACTACATTAGAACAGTGTAATATGGGCCTTTTAAACTAAACACTGTTCTTGTTTCTGCAACAGACAATACACCTCACACCTGTGGATCGGCTTGTCTCAAAAATCAGATACTAATCGATCTGACTAAAACTAGTATCAAAACTAAATACTCATTTTTCACAGATATCGATACTAACAAGTCCCACTGACAGGACAGAGAGATTACACACACATATAAGACACATGGGAATAGAAAAGAAAGTACTACTATTTAATGTGGAAAATCACAGGATATTGTCTAAAGAAAGAGGGTTTTCTTTATCATTGTGGGATCAGAATTGGTATTGAGGATCAAGTCTCTTCCTTAGTATTGAAATAAAGTTTGCAATTTTAATAATTTAAGTCCAGTTAGCAAAAGTTCTTAATTAGAAATGCCATGTGAGTAGAGTATCAGTGCAATTGGTCTTCAAGATGATCATTTATAGCAACATTTTTAAAGGTTTATCTTTTTGGTAGAGAGTCCACCATCTGCTTGTCTTTGGTCATGTTATTGCTTTGCTTGGAATGTTCCACAGTGTGACATTAAACAGCTCTACTTTACATTTATTCAATTACAGGTGGTTTTATGTGTCAAAAATCCCTAGAAAAACAGACATTGTGACTGCGCGGGGTCGCCTCTCCACAGATCTGAACTGTAACTTGGTCTGGTTTGGTCTACATGAAGATAGAAAGGATCCTCCATGAGGAAAGTTACACAACGCACCTTTAATGATCAGACTAAATTGTAAAAGCTTGTGTGCTGTGGTTTGAATTCTTACCATGACCCTGAAGTCCTCCAGGTTTTTGAACTTGGACAGATGCTCCTGCAGTTTGGGGTCGATCGTCTGGTTCTTGATTTTAGAATATTTCAAAAAGGCCCAAAACTTCTCCAGTCCGTACAGCTGACCTAAACGTCAACACAAACAAAAAAAGGGAATTAGGACTGCAAGATTAAATCAGAATTGAATCAAAATCACAATTTAAATGGACAAATAGCAAAAGCTGCAATTTTTGAACCATAATTTCCTCCAAAAACAACTAAATATTCTGCATTTAATTTAGCCCTCTGCAAACATGTTCTGAACTGTTGCAGTGTGTCAGATGCCCTCCTTGTGTCACCATGACGTCTTATTCTGCATACAAACTTCTAACCCTGTAGTTAGGTCTGTACAAACACATTCTGAAATGTGATTCTTGTGTTTGTTTGTCAGTTCAGATTTCAGTCTTTTGGTCGATTCTTCTGGACGTGTTTAAAATGTGAACTTTGAACAGACTCCTAATATTGACACTTGCAACCGGCGGCATCAGCATTCTGTGGGGGCGTGAAGCTAACTGAAGCACTGCTCTGTCTGCAGCTCTTCCTTAAGATAGACTTTAATCTTCTGAGCTTTATTTTCACACAATCTGACCAGAAAGAGCAGACTCCCATAATCCATCAGGAGCTCAGACTCACTGCAGCTCTTCAAATCACAACGACAAACTCACCTTTCTCCCATGAATGATTCCCCTGTCTTCTAATGTGTGCGTTGTATCACCATGGTAACAGATGAACATTCCGCCAATAGAGGTACATGTTTAGCACCCCCAGCAGTTATTAAATTGCTCAGCCCTACAGGAAAATTTTGGAACAGTCCAAGATGCTGTGACAATTTATGGTTCTGACCTGTACTATTTTAATCAGAGCATCTGTTCTGTTTTTATCTTGTTCCATTGCTCAGTCCTTTGAGCTCAAACAGGTGCAAATATCAAAGTTAATCCTGGTTTTGTTTTGGGTAAATGCTACCCGGGGTCACCAAAACAGAAGAGAATGCCGAGTTATAGTCTTGAATATTAATATTATATATAAAAAAAAAGGCTAAAATAAAAGGAGCTGCGTCTGATTTAAAAACAGAACTAGTTGATTTTACAACAGTTCGCTGTGACCCAAAGTTATTCCTAATGTTTCCAAAACATTCTGAGTATCCTAATTAACGATCCCAAGTTTTACATTGATGGTACTGCTAACAATGAGTAGCATGCTAATAGTGCTCACTTCATACAAATGATTCATAAGTAGATGCTTAAGTTACAATACACCAACCCACCTACTCTGGCCCCACCCACTTTTGTCTCTAAAAGCTCCTAAACTGCACTTTTATGGTGGCACTTCCGGTTAAACGGGGATCCTCTTCATGTCAGTGGAGAATCTGGGAAACGTTTAGAATCTTAAATCTGACAAAGTCGGTTCATTTGTGTAAAATGTTCAATTTTCATGTGACCAACAAGTCGCACTGCACCAGTTCTCTGAATCAGGGGTCTCCAACCTGTGGCTCAGGTGTTAACAGTCGCTGAATAAGTCAAAGTTGACTGATTGATTAAATGCCTATTTCCGTTGTAAATGTGTCATTTTGATGTCTATGTTTGTGCACTGATAAATGGATAATGGTTTATGTTTTACAGACATCTATGGCCTGTCATGGCTCTTACATTTACTTAACTTCTGGTGGCTGCTAAAATCAGTAGCTCTCTGGCATTTTTGTTTTTCAAAAAGTAGCTCACAGGAGATAAAAGGTTGGAGACTCCTGCTCTGGAGGCTTGAACTGATTTACTGTCAAGATCTGCAGCCCCAAACAAAATAATACAACCTGAATGATGACGGCGCTGCCCACGCAAATTCCGGAATAAGGTGAATACTGGGACAACTCGAATTTACTTGACATGAAAAAGGTGCATATAATGAGAAAAGATGAGCATGCGAGTATATGAGCAAGTGCCACAGCCCAAATGAATAAAATTGTGGTTTTGATTAAAAAACATTCAGATTCTGTTAAATGTGTATTTAAAAAGCTGTCCTACAGCATTAAGATATGAGAGAAGACTGAAATCTGAACTTGAAACTAATACAAGAAGAAGAGGTCTGAACTACTGAAGGGAAGCAGGATCTTGTCGGGTTTTACACTATTTTTACAATGTTTTGAACACATTTGGATTTAGTTTCCACAGTTACCTTTCTCAAAATCCCTGAGCGTCTCTTCCTGGAAATCCTTGAACAGATCGAGTCTGAATCTTCGCTCCAAACCGTAGCTGTAATATCTGAACAGGCACTCCAGCCCGTACCTACAACACACACACACACACACACAAACACACACACAAACACACGCACAAACAAACACACACACAAACACAGAGAGAGGTCAACATGATAAAAAACTCACATAACCTGACCTCTGACCTCTCCCATCACACCTGGCTATGACCCCAGGTGTGTTGACCCGAGACCAGCTGTGGATCTGAACCGGTTTCACACAGGGACTTTTGGAGGATCTGCTCTGCTCTGGTTTAAATAAACGTGTCCGAGTCATCGCATTTTTTACATGACGGAGATCCAGGTGCAGAGAATTACAAATGTGGGAACGACATGAGGATTTAATAGAGTGTCATGGCTCTGAATTGGTTGAGTTTCTCTATATCTGTGAGCAATATTTATACAAATTTCAAGAAATAAATGCATCACAGCTTCACTCTGTGTCATGAGTCTATATATGTGTCTGACTTTCTCAAATAAAAAAGTTTTTCATGATATTCAAATTTTTTGAGCTGGACTAGTGTGTAACCTTTCCTGTAGAGTGTCCACCACCTGCTTGGTTCCAACAGGAAAGGTGATATTTTGGTCTGGAACAGGGGTCGGCAACCCGCGGCTCTGGAGCCGCATGCGGCTCTTTAGCACTCCGCTAGTGGCTCCCTGGAGCTTTTTCAAAAATGAGTGAAAATGGAAAAGGAATGATTTTTTTGGTTGTAGTTTTAATATGGTTTCTTTAGGGGTAAAACTCTCGTTCATCTCTGGTCATGGATCTGATCCATCAGCTGTGTGCAAATGCAAACATAACAAAACACATGAAAAGTGTTTCAGCAGAACAAACAGATGAGCTGAAGTGGGGGGTGGTGTCCGGTGCTTCCACCTGAGAAGCGCTTTCCCAGAAAAAAAAAAAAAAAAAAAAAAAAAAACACGTGCGCAGACGGACGCTCAGAACAACATATAACAAACCAAACTGGATTCACACTTCTGTCTGGATGCTTTGCACCACCTCAGAACCAGCCGCGGTCGAGCGCGGAGGACCGGAGCAGCCCGGACCTGTGGTTCACAGAACATTCTCGCTTTTCCCGCACGGAACCAGCGCACAGATGACTGCACTTAAGCACTCGGACCCAGTCCTTTGCGCGCTGGTCTTGCTCGCCCCCGTCTGGAACCAGGACACGGAGGACGAAGCCTCCGGACAATCTGACCAACTCTGGACCCACAGCCCCGTCTTGAGGGGCTGCGCGCTGACTGCTCCTGTGTGTTTGACGCTGCTGCCCGAGCTCAGAGCTTCTGCTCCGGGTTTATTTTATGAGTGCTCCTATGCACGATCAGAAGAAATGCGACTGCTGCTCTGAATACTTCCATCATCATCGTCAAAGCAACAGGTAAACGTCGGTCGCACTTTCAGCGCGTCAGCTCCTAAAACTCCGTTTATCTCAGTTTAGATGCAAACGTGAAACCAGAGTTTTCCAAAATCTCCACTTAGCCGGAGTTTTTAGAAAGATTCATTTTCAGAGGCGAATTAACGTGTAAACGATGTGTTCAAACTCAGGCAAATGTCTCCATTTTAAAAAATACCCGTGTACGTGTAAACGGGGCCTAAATGACAATGGAATAAACACTAACCACCTGATTTTAGTGGCTACAGACGGCGCACCAAGTATGAGAGGGTCACAAAAGAGGTTTGTGTATCATGAATGCTCATTTTGTATTTGTAGCCGACTTAGTCATTTTAATAGTCGGCTTATACAGCTAATATACTGACAGCCTATGTTGCCTTCATATTAGGCTTATATAAGACTTTTAATTTTTTGCGGCTCCAGGCAGGTGTGGTTTTTGGTTTTTTGGGCCAATATGGCTTTTTGAGCATTTTGGGTTGCCGACCCCTGGTCTGGAACTTTTTTTTATTCTCACTGGTTTATTTGCCCCAGAAATTCTACTCCTAGAAAGATTTACCTGAAAAATTGTTGCAATTTTGTGGACAAACATGTCTTCTTTTACAGTGATGTGTTTATTTTCACTTCTTATAAAGTCATTGTTGTACTCCATGAGGAGAAACAGGAAGCAGCGATAAACTCTCCTTTGTTCAGTGACACTGAATTCACACGCAGAGCACTAAGCAGCAGAACATCCGGAACAAATAACCAGAGAGAATAAAATATCCAAATTGAAATAGGCACAATTACTGTTTTTGTCTAAATCTGTTTTTTGTTTGACATTAAAACAGAATAATGAAATAAAATGTTTTCCCATTTTAATGTTTTTCATTCTTAATTGAAATTCAAAAGAACAAATGGGACACGGACCAGCTATATAAGTTTTGTCAGTGGAACATTTCAGGCAAAGCAATGACATCTGCAAACCCTCTGTCAGAAAAATTCCACAGTGCACCTTTAAACTAAAATATGAGAGTAGTAAAACCCACTGTACGAGCCTCAGCTGATCCAAACAGTGTAATGCCCCGCCCCTTTCACTCAGAGACAGGAATGCGGAGGTGAGCAGCTGGAGAGACTAAACCAGACGCCCTGGTAACTCTGTAAACAAAACAATGTGTGCTGATCCGGTCTCCTCCTCTCAGTCAGGAGGTTGTGGGTTTAACTCCGGATCTCACGTGTTAAAAGGTTGTTTTTTTTTATTGTTCTCAAATCTGTCTCGTGTATTTAATATCAGATAAAGGTGTATTGTGTCACTTTTCTGGTGGAGGCTTCGTCAAATGCTTTTCTTCACAGAGATGTTATTGCTTTGTTTGTAATGTTCCCCAGTATGGCATTAAACCTTTCTAGCTTCATGGAGACCAAACCAGACCAAGTTACAGGTCAGATCTGTGGAGTGGCGACCCCACTCACAGTCACAATGTCTGTTCTTCTAGATATTTTTGACACATAAAAAACACCTGTAACTGAATAAATGTAAAGTAGAGCTGTTTAATGTCACACTGTGGAACATTCCAGGCAGAGTAATGACATCTCCATAGAAACCCCCAATCAAAAAGTTACATAGTGCACCTTTAAGGCCACAGGGTTACCTTGGCAACGCCCCTCTGCTCCGCCCCTTCTGCTGTTAAGTAACTTCATAAGTATTATGTAAATAATTAGTTCTGTTAGTTATATTTTTGGTAAATTAACACTGATATAAATTAACTGAACTTGTTTTTTAGGTCATATGTCAATGTCTAATGTCTGCAATAAATACAACAGATGAACAAATTCCTTCATTGCCGTTCAGCTCCAAACACACGAGGTGACACAGGCAGAGCCAAGTGTCTTTTTATCTTTTGTTTACTGTTCTAATGTTGTTGTTCTGTTTTGTATCTGGCCTTTGCACTTTATGCCTCATTTGCACTAAAGCTCAGCTCTGATGCCCAAATTGTACTGAATGAGCCCCTGACCTGTGTGAAAATGTGTGAAATGTATGTGTGTGTGTCTTATGCTGTAGTGTGTGACTGCAAACAGAACTGCCCCTTGTTTTGTGGAATAATTTTGAAATTTATTTTGTTATTTTATCAAGTTAGGATCTGTCTGTAAATGTTAGCTCTGGACGTCAGTAACTGCTGTGTCTCCACTGTGTTGTTTTATATTGTAGTATTGTGTATTATGTGTTATTATAGGGACAGAAGCTGAGTCCAACATTGTACTGCTGTGTTCTGTACTTTAGATTTAGTTTTGTGTATTGTTAAAGTATCTCTTGACATTAGATCATATGTAACTTTCCTGTAATATACTGTAATTCATTATTTTACTGTTTTATTTGTTTAATTCTAAACCACTATAAAAATCAGTATATCCCTTCTGCTGTTTGAGAGACTTGATAAATGGGAAGGAGCTGATGCAACCCAACACTGTACCCACCTGTGCCATTTCTGCGATTGTTCCAGAGGCCTGCGATTCTTACTGTATGGAGTCATATTTTTTGGTTTTATGAATAGTTCAACTCAGTGTGTTGGTAGTTTCATGAATATTAGGTTATAACTACTGTGCACTGTATTATTTGATTCATCCTAAACCACTTTACAATCGATTAAGAGACTTGATAAACGGGGCAGAAGCTGAAGCCAGTCCAACACTGCACCCGCCTGTGCGGTTTCTGTAGTTGTTTCAGACTTTTATATAAAATCCATCCAATCTTTGCAGTCAGGGTCTAAGTCATGTCGTCTCTGTGTTACTGTGGCAGAGTGGTTAGCCTATCTCCTCCTCTTATTCAGGAGGTTGTGGGGTGTGTCCCGGTCTCTCACCTGTAGTTGTCCTTGGCGTCCTCCAGGGCATACTGTTTAAACTCCTCGTACATTTTTCTGTTGAAATTGTCTCGAAGGAAAAACGACCAAAACCGAAACAGAGTGTTCATCTCCTGAGAGAGGCCCGCCCCCAACCGTTTCCTCTCTGCAACAAAAGAATATGTTTAGAATTAAAAATATATAATCTCTCACACATCACAAACATATCACTTTATACATTCAAAGTGTAGAGTTTCTCATTACCGTATTTGCCGCACTATAGGGTGCACTTAAAAGCCTTTAATGTCATCAAAAAACGACTGTGTGCCTTATATATGAATTTATTGGAGTGTCTTCGTACGACTTTAGTAAAGTACAAAGCCGCTCCACTTGCAGCATTACGGCTTCCATAGTCAGGAGCATCAGGAGTAATACAGACTGTGATTCCTTTTAATATCAAAATGCACCTGTCAAGAGACACGCTCACAATGCCCACTTTAAACTCAAGGCTGTTATAAAGTGAAAGTGCGAGCTGCATGGGAGCAGTGGATGAGAGGAGGAGAACACACATTCACCAAGACAGAGAGACAGCGCCGAGCCACTTACACTACGATCTGTCAACGGATCATGGACGCCCGGGCTAAAGATCAGGATCAACTGTGGTCCGAGCTTTCACCAAGACCAGAATCATCACTGAACTGAACTCCAGGGAACAGTAACCACACTGACTCGGATAATGACGAGAGGGATGTGGGTGTGCTGGACGCCGGAATCACCCAACTGTTATTATGACTTATTGTTAATACACGAACAATTTAGCGTCTCAGACAGTTTTTTTTTACGTGTTACAATTGAACAAAGTTGAGAGTTATTGCAAATAAAGTTTGACTGACTTATCTGTTGTGTTTCGTTTAATGTGCCTTATAGTCCGGTGCCGTTTATATGTGAAAAAAGTTTGAAAATAGACCATTCAATGGAAGTGCACTTTATAATCCAGAGCGACCTAGTGTGCAGAAAATACGGTAATAGGAGTAAGGAAGCCCCCCATTTAAGTCTAAATATAACGTAGACTACACAATCACATAAGAAGCCACTGTTGTCAAAAAAATAAAAAGTAACTACATTAAGGCTGGGCAATATCAAATTTGAAAAGAGACTGGCTCCTGTAACCAGCAGCATCATCAGCTTCATCTGACTGGAGCCAAACGCTGGGTGACGTCACAATCACTTCTTTATACTGTCTATGTCCACCACACACCGAAACTTTACGGGAAGCAGTGTGGTCTGTAATTCCATCAATGAGACAGGAAAAAAGATGCACATCCTCTTGCAGAGAAGTTTTTAAATGATTACATTAACCCATTGACGCCGGATGCTCCGCAGCGCAGCGCTGAGTCCCCTGTCCGGATTGTCTGGCGATCAGTGTAACTGGTAAAGGCGGGGCCACACCTGGAAGCATGGGGGGCGTGTCCTCCTCTCACTTCCATTCACTCCCATAGAGAGACGCAAAACTGCCAGAGCTGTACTGTCGCGTTAAACCTTCTTTATCGTGGCATATTATTTCTCCATTGAAAAATAATCCAAATGTATCCCGAACATGTTCCCATCAAGACCTGGTTTGAAATAAACATGGCCAAACACAAAAATGCTGACAGTGACAATGACAGTGAAGACACGGACAACATTTGTGTTTGACCATGTTCATTTGTTACACGACATAGCGATATGGCACCTGTTATAGGAGCGTCTAGAACAGCGACCAGATCAAGTGGTTGAGCGCGTTCATGCGCTGCAGTAAAGAGCAACGTTTGTTACTTCAAATCAGGTCTTGATGGGAACATGTGCGGGATACATTTGGATTATTTTTCAATGGAGAAATAATACGCCACGATAAAGAAGGTTTAACGCGATAGTACAGCTCTGGCAGTTTTGCGTCTCTCTATGGGAGTGAATGGAAGTGAGAGGAGGACACGCCCCCCATGCTTCCAGGTGTGGCCCCGCCTTTACCAGTTACGCTGATCGCCAGACAATCCGGACAGGGGACTCAGCGCTGCGCTGCGCAGCATCCGGCCTCAATGGGTTAAGAAGGAACCCTACTCCATCAGAACCCTTCCTAATCCATGCGGTTTCCTCTTGAGTTTAACTTGAATATAGTCAAGTACCGGCTGATCAGAACATGTGAAGCAAATGGGGTAGAAGTTAAGTAAGGCTTTGTTCTTCATCCTTTTCCTGTTAATGTGAAATGTCTTATGTTTTCTCTCTTTCTGTTTACCCTAAGACATTCCCACATACTATAGAACAAATAAAATCAAAGTAATATAATGCTAGTGAAAGTGTGCAGACCGTTGAGGCAGCGTCTTCTGTACTTGTGGTAGCCCTGCTGTGTGAAGCCATTGTCTCGGAGCAGTTCGTGAGACGGGTGCCAGAACTTTGGGAAAGACTGAGGCGTGCAGCCGTACGAGCCCGAGATCGGAGCGCCCTCAGAGGGGGAGGCGTTTGAACTGCTGTGGGGAGAAAGGAAGAGAAGAAGAGAGGAGAGAGGGAGAGGGGGAGAGAGGTACAGATGAGAGAAGGAGAGAGGAGGAGGGAGTGAGAGGAGAGTTTAAGGTCAGGAGCAGAGTAACCTTTAACAACAGCATCTGCAGTGTTGGGAAGAATACTTCACATGTGTTTTGTTACAGAATATTGAGTACCTGAATAAAATGTGTTCTATTCTGTACTATGGTTGAATCAGAGTGCTGTATTCTGAATCCTTTATTTATTTTAAGTGTAAATAATGTACCAAAACAGCCTTATGTTTTGTTTTGTTTTGTCACTAATTAGAGATACAAAAAGGACTCATGTACTGTACAAGAGTTGTGTTTTCCATTTTGTCACCAGTTCAGTGCAGTTTGAAGCCTAAATCATGTGATCAAATATCTCAATGAATCCCTTTTGATTTTTAGGTCAACATCTGTGCTCCAAATGAAAGTACATGTATCTGAATACATATACTCAGAATCAGTAAAATCTGAATGTACATGTTTTTAGTTCCTTCCAACACTGAGCATCTTCTATACTTTGGTCATATCTATAGTAGTTTTTTTCAGTATATTATGAAATCTAGTTTTATAAACATGTTAAAGTGGATTTTGTACCTTATAGAGGCGGATCGCGGCCGGTGCTCTCTGGAGTCCAGGACCCAGCCGATGTGCGCCTCCAGTGGAGGGTTTGAGCTATGACGAGTTTTCTTCTTGCGAGGCGTCTGACAAAAGCAAGAGAAGATACATTAGTGTGTTTCCATGGAGACAAGCAGGTGACAGACCCTCCATCCACAGTGACTGTAAAGCACTTTGCATGAAAAGCTCTGTATAAATAAAGTTTTATTTGATTAGAAAAGCTGTAAATCTTTAATATTTTAAGCCTTAATACATAATGGACATTTTTGTAGCTTGTTGTATGAATGTGTATTATAAAGCAGGGCTGTGTACTAGTTCTTGTTTGTTCTGTATTGTCATTTGTTTTGGAGAAAAATATGACATTTTGAATATTGTGATGTATTCCCCACTGAAGCTGAAAACACAAGACTGTGGAAACTCATTAAGAGCTTAAAACCCCTGATAATGAAAAAAGCTGAGGACTATCACTTAAACATAAACAAACATGTTAGGATCAATATTATAGATGGCAGGTATTTTGTCTGATGAGAGGCTATATTGTCCTCACATCTAGGACCTTATACAAGCAGCAAACCAAGTTTGTTACTTTGGTAAATACACATATTTTAATGTTTTCTATCGTGACAAATAAAGACTTGGTATTCTTCTCTATTTTAAAAGGTCCTATATTACACACCTGTCCGTCGATGTACCCGCTCTCCTTGATGACGGGGTAAAACCTGGGGGTCTTGTTCGGGTCACAGCGGCCGGGCGTGCGTGGCGTTCGAGGGGTGCGGGGCGTGTGAGCGCTCGGAGACTCAGGGACTGTTTTAGGCAAAGAGCGCGACAGATCCACTCCACTGTCCACTGGAAACAACAAACATGTGGTGTAAAAGGGGACATATTATATAAATTCAAAGTTATTACTGTTGTATTTTGATTGATTGATCCACTCCACTGACCACTGGAAACAACAAACATGTGGTGTAAAAGCTGCACTATGTAACTTTTCTGTTTGAGGATGTGCCAAAATGTAAAATTATGATCTATGATTGTTGTAATGTAACACCAAAGACCCCCCAAAATATTTTATTATCACGTCTTTTAAAATATAACTTTTTAATAAATTTACTTTTGTTAAATGCCACTTCAAAAATGTTTTGCTTCAGTATTGATTAAACCAGTAAAGCTACAAAAAAACAGAACTAAACAAAAACATAAATTGTGGAACGTAAATAGGAGAGACACAGTAACCTGCATGTTAAACGTGCATTGCCTTTAAAATTATACTTTGACATTGTAATAAATAGTAAAAGATGATGAAAAGAAATGATGACAGTGAAAATACTATTAGTTTAAGTATGAGGACTAAAATATTTATTTAAATATGGGAGAAAAAAATAAATTAAAAAAAGGAAGAAAGAGAGAGGGAGGGAATTTCCATTATAAATTGGCCAAAACATATCAGTATAAGAATGTAAGGGGGCCTAGCGGTGTGTTTATGCTGCACTACCACATTACTTTTGTTTTATTTAACTAAAGTTGTGTCGGTGTGTGTGGTCAGGAGGAAATGGGGGGCATTTTTTGTTGTTTTGTATTTGTTGTGGGTGTTGCTTTATGTTTTTGTGTTTTTTTATGTTGATTATTGTATTTTGTTAAATGTTATATTCTGTTGTCTTTAATAAAAAATAAAAAAAAGGTGCATTGTGTAAATTTTCTGGTGAAGGGGTCCTGCTTGTTTCTATGGAGATGTCAATGCTCTGTCTGGAATGTTTCACAGTGTGACATTAAACAGCTCTACCGTACCTTTATTCAATTACAGGTGGTTTTATGTGTCAAAAACACCTACAAAATCAGACATTGTGACTGTGAGCGAGGTCGCCTCTCCACAGATCTGACCTGTAACTTGGTCTGGTTTGGTCTCCATGAAGATGGAAAAGTTTAATGCGATAATTCCACACAAAGCAATAACATCTCCATGGAGAAAAGCATTTGGCAGACCCTCCACCAGAAACACAACTTACACAACACACCTTTATCATTATCAGTGCAAAAGTCTGTTGACTCAGGGCCTGATATGACAGAAAACAAACAGGAAACAGAACGTACCAGGCTGTGGAAGAGGCGGGATTTCCTGGTTGGAGTCGACAGGTGGTTTGGGCGTCAGTGTGTCAAACTCATCCTGACTGATCATATTCAGCTTCTTAAAACTCTCAGATTCCTGAAGAAAGAAAACAAACAAATTTAAATGAAAGTGCAAATGATTGTCTAAATTCAACTTAATTTAGTGGGATAACACCTGTTGTAAATAAATAATACATTTAAGATAGTTTACACAAATCGAGTTTGTGAAGAAAAGTTGAAAATATCTTGAACATTACAGAACAAGGACATACTAATGACATCACACTGGGAGAATTCAATCTGATGGTAATGAGGGGTTGATGGTGTGATATTTTATTTTGAATGTAGAGTTTTAGTGACATCAACTGGGGCACATGATGTTGTCAAGTGTGAGCACAAGCTGCTTTCATGGATTACCCACCATTGTAGGTTTTAGTTTTAACACTGGTGATGTTCACTGAAGAGTCAGGTGTAAAGTCATCACTATAAGAACACTTTGTATCATGTATCATGTGCCGCCTTGTAACCTTTGACCACACCCCCACCCTCTGCCTTACACAAATGTAGAAAACGGGTCAGTTCCTGTAGTTCATTCTCTCTGTCGTAACATGTGGAAAGAGCGAGTGCTCTGTATCTCCTATTTATATGAAACCTTCAGAACTGCATTCAACTCGTTTCATACAGCAACCAGAAATACTCGATATCACTATCCAAAAGTCTGACACAATTTATACTTACAAAACACAATGTTCTGCCATTTAAGCATGAGTTCAACTAAATAAAGATGTTTTCTTATTATTTCATTTATCAAATATAATCTCTGTGTGCATGAGGAGTTGTGGCCTGCTCTACATCACCTTTTTATTTATTTGACAGGAACAGTGCATATTGATGAACATCTGTAAATGGTAAATGGTCACATTTTTCTATAGCGCTTTTCCACCTTCAAGGCACTCAAAGCGCTTTACAACAAGGAACCACTCACCCATTCACACACACACATTCACACACCAGTGTACACAGACACTGTGGACAGGGTGGGTTAAGTGTCTTGCCCAAGGACACAATGACAGCATTCATCTGTGGGAGCTGGAATCACACCAGCCAACCCGTGGGTCAGTGGATCTGACCGCTCAACCTGTGATGTTTATGTTGAGAGTTGGATTCGAACCGCCAACCTTTAGATCAGTGGGCGAATGCTTTTTGGAATTACAGCTTCTCAAAACTCACCAGCATCCAGCCCTCTTTTGTCCATCGATACTAAAAAAGTATTGAAACTAGCATCTCATTTGAATTGTTATATACATACATGGAAAAAGGTTGGAGCTTTTCTGAATAAATTTAGAACAGTATTGATCAGTCAGAACTAGTATAAGATCATGGTAATTTCAGTAACTGTACAATTTTGTCCTGTTTATAAGATTTAATTTTTTGTATTTGTTTCATTCATTTTAAAAGCTGCATTGTGTGACTTTTCTGATGGAGGATCTGTCTCCATGGAGATGTTACTGCTTTATCTGTAATGTTTCACAGTATGGCATTAAACCTTTCTAGCTTCATGGAAACCAAACTAGACCAGGTCAGGACTGTGGAGAGGCGACTCAGCTCACAGTCAGAATGTTTGTTTTTCTAGGGATTTTTGGACTATAAAACCCCCTGTAATTGAATAAAAGTAAAGTAGATCTGTTTAATGTCACACTGTGGAACATTCTAGGCAGAGCAATGACATCTCCATAGAAACAAGCAGGTGATGGGCTTAGACTCCCAATGGAAAAGTCGATAAATGCAAAATAATTATGTTTCATGCATCAATGTGAATGAAAAGGAGCAGACAGATGTGTAGACTAGATATTAGGTTTAGTATTGATTGGAATAAGATTTTTGATCATTTTGAAAACTCCATGTCCATCTATAGACCGGTTTGTGAGCTCTATAAACTTTCTCTGGTGTAGAGTCGCGACCTTCACACAGACTCTGCTTCAGATAAAGTTTGTGACGCAGAGCAGCTGTCACACGCAGATGTGTCCGACTTTGACTTTGTTCAGGTGAAACTTTCCCACCAACGCTCGGACTTTACCCCCACACGCTGCACCAGCCTGGGCAACACGTGGGCAGTGGACGGGCTGGAGGGGGCTGGAGGAACACGGAAATATCCCTTTATATAAACAGTCTATAGTATTGACACAAGAATCACGGTATATTGATGTATCACTAATTTGAGAACAGGAGGCAGCAGTAGAGTTTTGCAAGTTCAAATTATTTTTTTTCATTTTCTGTCATTTATTTCAGGCTGTAAAGTGTCCAAAAGTGTTCCGATTTCAATTTGCTTCTTTTCATTATCCAAATAAAAATACACAGCCTATTTTAGTAGAGAAATGATCTGCCTCTGTACAACAGCAACAAAAAAACTGTACAACTCACCATTATGTAACAGATAATACTCCCTACAACTGTACAACAACTCACCTTTGCAGAACAGATAATACTCCCTACAACTGTACAACAACTCCCTCTTATGGAGCAGATAATACTCCCTACTACTGTACAACTCACCCTTATGTAACAGATAATACTCCCTACAACTGTACAACAACTCACCTTTGCAGAACAGATAATACTCCCTACAACTGTACAACAACTCACCTTTGCAGAAAAGATAATACTCCCTACAACTGTACAACAACTCCCTCTTATGGAGCAGATAATACTCCCTACTACTGTACAACTCACCCTTATGTAACAGATAATACTCCCTACAACTGTACAACTCCTCACCCTTATGGAACAGATAATACTCCCTACAACTGTACAACAACTCACCCTTATGGAACAGATAATACTCCCTACAACTGTACAACAACTCACTCTTATGGAACAGATAATACTCCCTACAACTGTACAACAACTCACCCTTATGGAACAGATAATACTCCCTACAACTGTACAACAACTCACCCTTATGGAACAGATAATACTCCCTACAACTGTACAACTCCTCACCCTTATGGAACAAATAACCCAATGTTCTGTCAATCATATTATCTTTGTACTGTTTTTCCTTACGATGAGCTCTTGTATATTGCTGAGTAGAGGTGTGCAAGAATATTGAGACATCGATATATCGTATCATCTAATGTGATGATACAGTTTCAGTATGATGGGCTGCTGTATCGGTATATTAGTGATATATTTTACTCAATTATTTAGTTACAGCTACAGTTTTGTTGTTTGTTCAGAGGAAGCAAACATTAGACATTTTCACTGTTTTGATGATTAAAATGTTTGTGTTTCATATGAACTCTGCACAAGAAGTGGTTTAACAAAGACTTTTAGTATCACAGCCAGGATTTAGCCTTTATTTTGACTGAACCGTATCGAATTGATTTGAAATAGAAGTATTGAATGGAAAGTGCCCTGTATCGAGGTACGTATCGTATCGTTGTCTGTGTAAAAGTGTTCCAATTTCATGTTGCTTCTTTTCATTCTCCAACTCAAAAGCCCACATTAAACAGTTTATTTTTGTACAGAAATGCAGGCCTCTGTGGTAGTAGTTGTTGTGGCCATGTTATCCTGTACTTTGCAGTTCTCAAACTCGTGGTGACGGTTTTCAAGCATCCAAAAATAGAGTGTTTTTGTGCCTCTGTGCAGGCCTCTCTGATCAGACTGACCTGGTTTAGGCTCCAGTGACACAGGGATACACTCTTACATAACTCTGCTTTAATAAAACTATGGCCTATAAAGATCATATGACAATGTTACATCACTCCCCCACTGACTTTTCAAGGATGTCACAGTGACCTAGTTCTGTTAAGAGTTGGTATATTGTGTGGGCCTGTAAAAAGCATCCAAAATCAGATACTAAAACTGGTATTGAAACTAGATACTTGCTTGAGCACATAGACTAGTATACACCCATGGACACTATGGAACCTACCTGCACCACTGAGGATTACACACATATAAGACACATGGGAGAAGAATATAGAAGAAAGTTCTACCATTTAATGTGGAAAATTACAGTATATTGTCTAAAGAAAGAGTGTTTTATTATTCTATGTATTTATTCTGTGGTGTTGGAATCAGTATTGTCTTTATTCCTTAATATTGAAAATGAATTGAAATTGAATATATCAAGATTGAAATGTTATCGTGACAACGGTGGGAGAAATTACATCAAAATTTTGCTCCTATGTTTGGTAAATGGTCCCTACTATTTTTATATCATGTTTTTCCACCATCTGGGCCTTCAAAGCTCTATGTTAGGTTAGGTTGCTTTATTTGTACCCGTAGGCAAATTCGTTTTGCAGATTTGAGAGGTTGGTCCCACATTTCACATTTCATTCATCCACACTGTACACAAAAACACATCAGAGTGCTCCAGTGAAGAATGGTTTTGATCCATAAATAATTCATTAATCACGCTTGGCTAAAAATCCCAATAAATATTAAATGTATAAAAAACAGGATTTTCCAAGACATGGTACTAAAATCGCTAAATAAACTGATTACAAAGTATTCATTAGTAGAATAGCAGCTGGAACAAAGCTCCTTTTAAAACGATTCGTTCTCAATCTTGGAACTAAAAGCCTCTGACCAGAGGGAAGCAGCTGAACCTCTGAGTTTAGAGGACGCTGCACGTCTTTTAGAAGCCTCTGGGACGTCCTCTGTAAGTGTCCTGAGTACAGAGAGTCCAGGCGGCTCAGAGGATGGACAATCACCCAACTAGAATCAATGAGTGTTCCAAGATATTTATAGAAGTCTACACGCTCAACTGACTGACTGCTTTCAATATACTGACAGCTTTGTACACTGAGTAGTTAAATGGCATTTAAAGGTGCACTATGAAAATTTTCTGGTGGTCCGCTGCCTGCTTACCTCCATGGAGATGATTTTACTTTGCCTAGAATATTCCACAGTATGGCATTAAACTTAACCATCTAGCACAGATTCATTTTAGTTGCTTAATCCCTTTGAAAAACATGTATTCTGTGAGCGGGGTTGCCTATCCACAGATCTGATCTGTGCGGGTATCCCGGGCTCGTCTCCACTGACATACAGTAGACACGTTATATTAATACCATACTGTGGACTTCCAGACAAAGTAATAACATCTCCATGGAGACGAGCAGGTACTGCAAAAGTTACATCATGAGTTTGAGTATTACAGACAAATGTATTCATGTTTTTGTCCCCCTTTGAGTAAAACTAGAACTACCTTATCCATGGTTTAGTCTAGTTTTAGACCTGGTTTAGTCCAAATTTAAGCCTGATATAGTCCGGGCTTAGATCTGGAGCTACTCAATCCAAATATAACCTTAGATAGTACTTGTTGAAAAGTTTGAGAAATGCTGCTCTAACCCATCCTTACCTTTGTGGTCTCTATTTGCTCCTCTCCCTTCCACAGATCCTGCTCGTAATAGTACAGCCCGTCGTTGATCGCTTTGGCCAGGTCTGCGGTGATCTTGGCTCTGGACTCGTGGTTGCCGGTTCGATCCCCGCTCGGGTGTTTGCGCAGGTATGGCGGCGTCTGGGTCACGATCAGGAGTTTGTCCACGTCCGTGTCGTCCAGCTCGTAGTCCGAATCCTCGTCCGACCAATCCGTGAACCGGTTTTTCCTCGGCGCCATCTGCTCCATTTCCTCGTCAAACAGGAAGTCCAGCTCCTCCTGGTCCGGCTCCGGCTGCAGCGGGGGGTTTGAGGGCGGGTCACTGCGCTCCTACAGGACAACAGACAACAGATATGGAAAAGTTATGAGGGAATTAGACAGAAGGGATGTAGTGTGACGCTGCTGGAAGATAGATCATGATTTCTATGTTATCCTGATTGATGTTTTCTTAGTCTTTAAGAGGTAACTAAAGCCATCTGCTGTTTCTGAAAGTTTACTCTTCACTGGTTAAATCCACCTGTCACTCACTCAGAGCAGAGGCTGGCCAACAGGAGAAGTGTGGAGAAAAGTGTCTGTTTTTGATCATAGAGTTGAATTACCGTATTTTTCGGACTATATGTCGCACTTTTTTTCATGGTTTGGATGGTCCTGGGACTTATACTCCAGTGCAACTTACATATAAAAATTTTCAGACTGACAGCCGTGAGAGGGCGTTCTAGGCTCGTGTGTCAGTATCTGCTACTTCTGTTACTCCTGTACCACTGTCACTGTACTGCACTGTCTCCTGCAGAAATAGCCGCTGTCTCGCTGCAAATAGTGAAATATTCGGCTGAAAATGGTAATTGAGCAGCAGAAAGAAAATCTGGAGAGAGAAACTTGTGACTGACTGGCGGAAAGCGGGGATAGAGAACACAGTTTCACGAATCGACAAAGCCTGAACTTCTATGACAATCGAAACCATCCTGTTGGGATTCAGAAAGGCTGGAATAATTCTAACTGAAACTGATGCTGAGTCTGACGACAGTTACACAGAAGAGGAAGCGGAGCTCTGTTTACCTCATGGATCTATGGTTTATCTCCAGAGGTTGCGCAGAAGTGACAATGAGGATGAAAAATTCAGTGGATTTAGTGATTTGGATTGAGATCGTGAGTTTGGTAAACTTATGTTGTGTTGTTTATCGTATAATTATCTGAAGAACTGTTAATATGTTACGCTAAAATATTAACAGTTAACATATTCTGTTCTTATTACTATAATTTGCCTTTCAAGACCACATGTCGGTTCCTGGTCTCTGATTTTACAAAATACATTTCCCCAAAAAGTACGACTTATAGTCTGATGTGACTTATATATGTTTTTTTCTTCATCATTGCACATTTTTTGGCTGGTGCAACTTATACTCTGGAGCGACTTATAGTCTGGAAAATATGGTAAACAAAAATGATATAGTAATTTAACCAAAATAACTGATCGAGATGAGATTTTTATCACCCTTTCACTTTAACCTCACACAGCACTGTCAACTCTATAATGTGATAAAGCCCAACAAACTGACGACCAATTTGGGGGCAGAGTCAAGCTGAAGCGCTCAAATGAACCAAAACAAACACGGCGACACAGAGACGTACCTCGGAATATTTTCGCTCCAATACTACAGGACTATTAATTTGTGAAAAACAAGAAGGAGGAAAGAGCTTTGTGCATTTGTTGAACAGGGAGGATGTCTGTGCTTTTCTTTCAGCTGGATTTAACTAAAGTTTGATTTCTCGTCTTGTTGCTCTGTTGTGACAGTGTTTTCTGATCTCTTTCTGTGATCCCAGATTGATAATGTGAAAAAATTCATTTCAGAGACACATGTGAGCTTGGTTAATGAAGATCTGAAGGTATTTTGCATGTGCGAGAGTTCTTAAGGGTCTCTATTCTGATCAGAGCTGCAACCATTAATCAAATAATCATTACTATAGGTATTAAAACAAAAAACCCTAATAGTATTTTTAGTAGTAATAGTAATAGGTTTTTATCGTAATGGTTATCTGGACGATGCAGACTCTAAAACATGAATTAGTCGAGCACTAAAATAATGGTTAGTTTCAGCTCTAACTCTTCAGTGTTATTATGATTGTTATTCTGTGCACATGATGTTATACTGTGATACTCAACTGTAGACAGGACACAGTCAAGCGGAGGTGGAGGTGAAGGAGGAGGAGGAGGAGGAGGAGAGGAGACAGGGCAGACTTCATCAGGCTGTGGTCAGGAGCGTAATGGATGAGAGAGGGAACAAAAGAGGAGAGAGGGGAGGGAAAGAGGAGAGAGAGAGGAGGGAGAGAGGAGGGAGAGAGGAAAGAGAGGGAGGAGAGAGCAGGAGAAGCGAGAGAGAGGAGTAAGAGAAAGAGGAGAAAGACAGGAGGGAGAAAGAGGGAAAACAAAGAGGAGGGATAGAAAGAGAAGAGAGAGAAAGACGGAGAGACAAAGAAAAGGGAGAGAAGAAGAGACAAGGAAAGACAGGGTCAGAAACAGAGGATGAGATGATGAATTAGTGATGAAGTGAATGATACGAGGATGAAGGCTCAGAGCAGCATTAAGGAAAATACAAACATTCGGTCAATTCATTTTTAAGACACTTCAAATTCAGACTTTAGCAAAAGCCAAATAATTTTCTGCCTTAATATTTATTATAGTATTTATTTTATTATTATTTTTAATTGTATTTTCAGCTGTGATAAATAAATTACTATGAATATAGTTTGCATTTCTTTAATCAACAACCCACAAGTCTTAAGTCTCCTTTTAAAAACGTCGCTTCCTAAAACCTCTAACTTTTATCAACAGCGTCCACTTCAAAAACTATGTACATAATTAGTGTGTTTTATGTTCTAAAAAAACTAAATAGTGTTATATTTTTATTCAAACCCATTTTTGTCCTAGAGTCTGTACCTTGTTCTTCCCGGAGTAGTGTCTATGGCGTTTCTCGACCTGGATCCAGGCGTCAGGGTCCGGTTTGGGGACTTCCTCTGGTTTTTGCTCCTGATCCGCTCCGTCAGTCTCTGAAGAATCCGGGACGGGTTTTGAAGAATCCAGCGGGATCTCGGTCGAAGGCGATGAGGCTGAAATCACATCGTTTCTGTTTAATCCAAAGAGCATTTTCTCTCCTTCTCTTTCTCTCATTTTCTTTATTTCGAGCCATCTATACTAATGCAGTCTGTACTATCTGAGTAACTTATTTTCATCATAGTTGCCTACTGTACAAACAATTAAACATTTATACTTTACACTCTATACTGTGACCAGACGTTTGTTTATAGAGTGATTTAAAGTGGTAAATACTTTGACATTGCTTGAGTTCCAGCCCAAGACTTAACCTCACACACAGACACAGAAAAGCTTCTTCTAGTGGTTCTTGGTTCTTAAGAAACAGTCAACAGACAATCAGGATTGAGCCAAGATTCAGAACACTGTAAATCAGTCGTATCAGGTTTGTGAGGTCGTTGTGTACAGCATTGTACCATATTTATGTATATTTATGGAGACTTGTCGTGTGGGAGCGTGGGTGACGTAGGCTTGTGGGCAGAGCCTCATACAAAATTTTATAGCTAACCATAAGGAGGGTGTGAATAGGACCCAGAAGAGATCACTTCAGCCATGTTTTTGATGAGGGAACAACATTATAACATGGTACAAAGCTCAAACTAAATATATTTTGAATAAAACCTCCTCTTTAACAAACTGGTGGTGTAACAAAACTGCACAGACCCGACCACAGAACTCTAATCAAATCTGCAGCTGAACCCAAGATGGTGTTGTAATGTTTTCAGTGGCCTGTGCTCATTGGCTCATGGGCCCAAAAATAATTCTCTCTTTCGCATTTACTTCCTCAGTAAGGGTTAGGTCCTCCCACATGCGTTATGTCTGTAACATGCACGGCGTGGGGCGTTCAGAACAATGATTTTTACTGCTTTTTATAAAGAAATACAATGAATATTTAATTTTCAAAATTGAGTTAAGCATTTTGGCCCTCCACAGTATTTTCTGTTTCTCATGTGGCCCAGTGGAAAAAAGAATTGCCCACCCCCGCTCTCCATGGTCGACTCTGGGAAATATGGTGGAAAACCAGAGGCCAGTGCAGAGCTTTGTCAAGTCCCTGTGTTTCCATTTTTGTGAAGGTGTTAAAATCACTGTCAGATCGGCTCAATGTTCACGATGGAAAAGGAACAGACAGCTGAACTTCACACAGACAGATTTGAACCTGAAGTAAATGTGTCAGATGTAACAATGTGTAATATTGTGTAAAGCCATGCTCTTGCATAACCTCACCGCAAGATTCAAAGTCAACCTCTGTGTGTAACTTTTACTACATATAAGTGTGAGCTTCTGAAACGAAATGCTTTGCTTTGTCACAGTGGTTAAAAAAACAGGAAAGTGCACTGGTCATGGTCCTTTGCTCTGTTTTGGTGCTGATAACATGAAGAAATAATTATTCATGCATGATCGCATTACAGGCACAACACCTGATTATTACGGTTTTTCAAATGTGTAAAAACAACAACAAAAAATACAAAATAAATGAATAATTGTTGTTGTTGTTTTTTTTTTTTTTTTTTGCTGTTTTCTATGTTTATTTCTTTTTTGTATATGTGTTAGTTTTATCTTTTGTTATGTCGTTGTTATGTTTATTTTGTTATAAATGTGTTGTGTATACAGATCCTCAAAATGATAAAAAAAAATAAAAATAATTAAACCTCTTCCTCAGTTTAATGCTAAAATTATAGTAACGCTCATAACAACTAGCATGCTAACTGTGCACCAGCCTTGCCGCCTTGTTTGTGGGTTAAAAAATGCAGAGAGACACAGCAGTTTCATTCTGACCCTTAAAGTGCTTTGACAACATGTATTTGGGGCAAAACTAACTTTACTTTATTCTGTTGAAAAAGTTGGGTTCTTTAAAGGTTTCTTTGGACATTTTAGAGAAGATGGGCATTAAAATACAGACACTCTAACAGTCCCCACACCTCAGTCATCATCATATCATCTTTGCACTGTTTTCCTTATGACCTATTGTACCATATTTTTCAGACTATAAGTTGCACTTTTTTTCACGGTTTGGGTGATTCCTGGGACTTATACTCCAGTGCGACCTATAAATTAAAATGTTCAGACTGAAGCTGCGAGAAGGCGTTCTAGGCTCATATGTCAGTATCTAGTAGAGCCCGACCGATATATCGGTTGGCCGATATTATCGGCTGATATGGGCAACTTTAGGCTTGCTGATAGGGGCCGATATTTCACCTCGTTATAAAGCTTAGACTCTCTACATTCTGTTCATTTAATCCAATTTACAGACAGATAAATGTCCTAATATGTGGCTCCACATCAGTATTTATCTACGGAGTCATTTGTCTGTGTGTCCGTACTGTCCCTGAACACACCACAGAGTTGCGTCACTCACGTGTGTTTGTTTACATCTGCAGACACAGATCCAAACACTGAGATTATATTCTTTTTACGGACAATCGGTTTGAGTCTGGATTAAAAGGACATTTATTAGTGCAGACTTGTGATGTGAGAGGAGCCTGTGTGAGCGGTGAGTGTTGGAAATATGTCGACTCTGAAGCTAGTTTTGGTCATTTGTTATGGGTTAGCTGCTGTAGCTCCCGCACATAAACAGACTGTTTTCTATTGGTCTGTTCTAAAGTGACTATATTGGCCGTATATTTGCTACTGGACCTGCACTGATATGTAAATGAGCTGTGAACAGAGGTGTGAATTATGACATTTGCGCATATAATTAATTACCGCGCCGCGCTCGTATTTACGGCTAAAGGCTAATAGCGCAACTTTCTTTACTAGTTATGGGTCCGTCGCGAACGAAATGACTCTTAGAACCGGCTCTTTGAAGGGAACGACGGGAGACTGATCCTTATTGGAAGCTGTGTTTTCTCTTTCTCTCACTTTTTTTCTCTTCACGCCGCGTGCAGACAGCGGCTGAAAACGAAACTTTGAGAAATTTGCGTGTACGTAGGATTTAAAAAAAAAAAAAAAAAAAAAAAAAACGAGCATATTTGACTGTAGTTTAGCATAAAATAAATAAGTCCCAGTTTAGTCCTTTTTCAGTCCTGCTTTAGACCTGGTTCAGTCCTGATTCAGTCCTGCTTTAGACGTGCTTTAGTCCTGCTTGCAACAAAACAATCTGAAGAGCCACTTGGGAGCCAAAAGAACCAGCAGCTTTTAGTGAGCCAAACCAAAAGAGCCGGTTCTCTAAAAAGAACTGGAATACCCATCACTAGTGTCTAGAATGTGATGCAAAAATGCCATTAAGCCAATCTACTGTCTGTAAATATGATGTAAAGAGGCAGAATAACAATAAATGTTGCCTAAATAAACCCAATTTAAAATCCACCAGAGCCAAACCTAAGTTTTTTAAACAATTCAACATTTACAGTGAATTTTTACATCACTAAATATATCGGCAGCTCCAACTTCCATTATATCGGTTTCATATCGGCCACAGCAAAATCCATATCGGTCGGGCTCTAGTATCTATCCATCCATCCATCCATTTTCGTCCGCTTATCCGGGGCCGGGTCGCGGGGGCAGCAGTTTAAGCAGGGACTCCCAGACTTCCTTCACCCCAGACACGTCCTCCAGCTCCTCCGGGGGGGACCCCGAGGTGTTCCCAGGCCAGCCGAGAGACATAGTCCCTCCAGCGTGTCCTGGGTCTTCCCCGGGGCCTCCTCCCGGTGGGACATGCCCAGAAGGCATCCGGAACAGATGCCCGAGCCACCTCAACTGGCTCCTCTCGATGTGGAGGAGCAGCGGCTCTACTCCGAGCTCCTCCCGTGTGACTGAGCTCCTCACCCTATCTCTAAGGGAGCGCCCAGCCACCCTACGGAGGAAACTCATTTCGAGCGCTTGTATCCGCGATCTCGTCCTTTCGGTCACTACCCAGAGCTCATGACCATAGGTGAGAGTAGGAACGAAGACTGACCGGTAAATCGAGAGCTTCGCCTTTCGGCTCAGCTCCCTCTTCACCACAACGGTCCGATACAGCGACCGCATCACTGCCGAAGCTGCACCGATCCGCCTGTCAATCTCCCGTTCCGTCCTTCCCTCACTCGTGAACAAGACCCCGAGATACTTGAACTCTTCCACTTGAGGCAAAGACTCCCCACCCACCCGGAGAGGGCAAGCCACCTTTTTCCGGTCGAGAACCATGGCCTCAGACTTAGAAGAGCTGATCTTCATCCCAGCCGCTTCACACTCGGCTGCAAACCGCCCCAGTGCACATTGCAGGTCCTGGTTCGATGAAGCCACCAGGACAACATCATCCGCAAACAGCAGAGATGAGATCCTGTGGTCCCCAAACCGGACCCCCTCCGGCCCCTGACTGCGCCTAGAAATTCTGTCCATAAAAACAATGAACAGAACCGGTGACAAAGGGCAGCCCTGGTGGAGTCCAACATGCACCGGGAACAGGTCTGACTTACTGCCGGCAATGCGAACACAGCTCCTGCTCCGGTCATACAGGGACCGGACAACCCTTAGCAAAGGGCCCCGGACCCCATACTCCCAGAGCACCCCCCACAGGACACCACGAGGGACATGGTCGAATGCCTTCTCCAAGTCCACAAAGCACATGTGGACTGGTCGGGCAAACTCTCATGAACCCTCGAGCACCCTATGGAGAGTGTAGAGCTGGTCCAGTGTTCCACGGCCAGGACGAAAACCACACTGCTTCTCCTGGATCTGAGGTTCGACTATCGGCCGGATTCTCCTCTCCAGTACCCTGGCATAGACCTTACCGGGAAGGCTGAGGAGTGTGATCCCCCTATAGTTGGAACACACCCTCCCGTCCCCCTTCTTATACAGAGGGACCACCACCCCGGTTTGCCAGTCCAGAGGTACTGTCCCCGACCGCCACGCGATGTTGAAGAGGCGTGTCAGCCAAGACCCACACATCCAGAGACTTAAGGTACTCAGGACGGATCTCATCCAATCCCGGAGCCTTGCCACCAAGGAGCTTTCCAACCACCTCAGTGACTTCAGCCAGGGTGATGGACGAGTCCGCCTCCAAGTCCCCAGCCTCGGCCTCCTCCTCGGAAGACGTGACGGTGGGATTGAGGAGATTCTCAAAGTATTCCTTCCACCGCCGGACAACGTCCCCAGTCGAGGTCAACAGCTCTCCCCCCGCACTGTAAACAGTGTTGGCGAAGAACTTCTTCCCCCTCCTGAGGCGCCGGACGGTTTGCCAGAATCTCTTTGAGGCCGTCCGATAGTCCTTCTCCATGGCCTCCCCGAACTCCTCCCAGCTCCGAGTTTTTGCCTCCGCAACCACACGAGCTGCAGCACGCTTGGCCCGCCGGTACCCGTCAGCTGCTTCAGGAGTCCCCCGAGCCAGCAAGGCCCGATAGGACTCCTTCTTCAGCTTGACGGCATCCCTTACTTCCGGTGTCCACCACCGGGTTCAGGGATTGCCGCCGCGACAGGCACCACAGACCTTACGCCCACAGCTCCAAGCAGCCGCATCGACAATAGAGGCCGAGAATGAAGCCCACTCGGACTTCATATCTCCAGCCTCCCCTGGAATCCGGGAGAAGTCCTCCCGGAGGTGCGAGTTGAAGGTCCCTCTGACAGAGGGCTCCGCCAGACGTTCCCAACAGACCCTCACTACACGCTTGGGCCTGCCAGGTCTTTCCGGCTTCCTCCTCCGCCAGCGAACCCAACTCACAACCAGGTGGTGATCAGTTGACAGCTCAGCCCCTCTCTTCACCCGAGTGTCCAAGACACGCGGCCGGAGATCAGATGACACGACGACAAAGTCGATTATCGACCTCCGGCCTAGGGTGTCCTGGTGCCACGTGCACTTATGGACACCCTTGTGCTCGAACATGGTGTTCGTTATGGACAAACTGTGACTAGCACAGAAGTCCAATAACAAAACACCACTCGGGTTCAGATCGGGGAGGCCGTTCCTCCCAATCACCTCTCTCCAAGTGTCACTGTCATTGCCCACGTGGGCGTTGAAGTCCCCCAGGAGAACAACGGAGTCCCCGGTCGGTGCACTGTCTAGTACCCCTCCCAAGGACTCCAAGAAGGCCGGGTACTCAGCACTGCTGTTCGGCCCGTAGGCCGACACCACAGTGAGAGACCTGTCCCCGACCCGAAGGCGCAGGGACGCAACCCTCTCGTTCACCGGGGTGAACTCCAACACACGGCGGCTGAGCTGTGGGGCAATGAGCCCACACCAGCCCGCCGCTGCTCCCCGCGGCCAACGCCAGAGAAATGGAGAGTCCAGCCCCTCTCAAGGAGTTGGGTTCCAGAGCCCAAACTGTGCGTGGAGGTGAGGCCGACTATATCTAGTCGGTAACGCTCAACCTCCCGCACAAGCTCAGGCTCCTTCCCCCCCAGCGAGGTGACATTCCATGTCCCCAGAGCTAGTCTCCATGTCCGGAGATCCGGTCGTCGAGGCCCCCGCCGTCGACTGCCGCCCAGATCTCTCTGCACCGGCCCCATATGGCTCCTCCCGCGGGTGGTGGGCCCACGTATTACTATTACTCCTGTACCACTGTCACTCTACTGCATGTCTCCTGTAGAAATAGCCGCTGTCTTGCTGCAAATAGTGAAATATTCATACGAAAACAGTAATTGAGCTGCAGAAAGTAAGTTTGGAGTGAGCGAGAAACTTGTGATTGACTGGCCGAAGGCGGGGATGGAGAACACAGCTTCACGGTAACCGGGCGGGTGCACCATATAACTTTCCTGGAAGTCACGAGATGAATCAACAAAGCCTGAACTTCAATCAATCGAAACCATCCTGTCCGGATTCAGAAAGGCTGGAATAATTCTAATTGGAACTGATGCTGAGTCTGATGACAGCTACACAGAAGAGGAAGCGGCGCTCTGTTTACCTCATGGATCTATGGTTTATCTCTGGAGGTCACGCAGAAGTGACACTGACGATGAAGAATTCAATGGATTTGGTGATTTGGAGTAAGATTGAGAGTTTGGTAAACTTATGTTCTGTTGTTTATGCTATAATTATCTGAAGAACTGTTCATATGTGACGTTAACATATTAACGCCTATTCAGCCTGTTGTTCTTTATTCTGTTGTTATTATAACTTGCATTTCAAGATAAAATGTCGGTTCCTGGTCTCTGATTTTACAAAATACATTTCCCCAAAAAGGGCGACTTATAGGTTTTTTTCTTCTTCATTGTGTATTTTTTGGCTGGTGCGACTTATACTCCAGAGCCACTTATAGTCTGGAAAAAAGGGTATATAGCAGAGATGTGCTTGTTATTTTATTTTTACTAGTGCACATACATTTATATAGTCTTTTTCGCTACTTATTTAGAATGTATTATTACCATTTATATTTTTTCCTCTACTTTGGTGTCCAAATAATTTCCCTGTGGATCAATAAAGTTTGTACAAGTGTAAGTCTCCTGTCCCCAGTCCCCTCGTCTCCGGTCTCACACCTGTATTGGCGGTGATGCTTTGCCTGGGCACAAACTCCGGGCAGTGGATGAGTTGGGAGAAGTCCGTCCTGGGGGAGCCCACGACTGAAGGCATCGCGATGGGCCAGCGCTCTGGGTCTGTTTTACACCGAACTTTATCCTCCACCAGCTCCACCTCTGAGCTGCTCTTCAGCGCCTGAACACAAATGCCAAGTTAATAACAGTAACTTTAAATATACGACTACTTTCCACTTATTCTATAGGACATACTAGTAAAACAGTGTTATGTGTAAAGAAATGGCAGTAGTACTAGTAGTAGAAATCGTAGTAATGGCAGTAGTATCATCAGTAGTAGTAGTAGTACAGTTATAGCAGCAAAAGTATGCGAGTAGTTGTAATTGCTGTGTTAGTTGTAGCAGTAATAGTAGCTGTAGTAGTAGAAGTAGTACCAGTAGTAGCAGCAATATAGCAGAAGTAGCAGTAGTAATAGCTAATAGCAGCAATAAAAGAGCAGTAGTAAAAGTAGCAGCAGCAGTAATTTGAATTTCTTTGTGCACTTTTAAATACTTTGTGTACAACTTGTGCAATACAAATACACTTGTCTTGTCTAATACAGTAGAAGTGGCAGTAGTAGTAACAGCAGCAAAACAGAAGAGCCAGGTAGTAGCTGCAGCAATATTAAAAGTAGTAGTAGTAGTATTAGTGGCAGTAGCAGTGTTAGTTGTTGTAGTAGTAGTAGCAGTAGCAGCAGCAAAAGTAGAAAAAGATGTAGTAGCAGCAGAAGCAGAAGCAGCAGCAGCAGCAGCAGCAATAGTAGTAGTAGTAGTAGTAGTAGTAGCAGTAGTAGCAGCAGCAGCAGTAGTAGTAGTGGTAGAAGTGGTAGTAGTGGTAGTAGTAGTAGTAGTAGCAGTAGTAGCAGCAGCAGCAGTAGTAGTAGTGGTAGAAGTGGTAGTAGTGGTAGTAGTGGTAGTAGTAGTAGTAGTAGCAGTAGTAGCAGCAGCAGCAGTAGTAGTAGTGGTAGAAGTGGTAGTAGTGGTAGTAGTGGTAGTAGTAGTAGTAGTAGCAGTAGTAGCAGCAGCAGCAGCAGCAGTAGTAGTAGCAGCAGCAGCAATAGTAGTAGTAGTAGTAGTAGTAGTAGTAGTAGTAGTAGTAGCAGTAGTAGCAGCAGCAGCAGTAGTAGTAGCAGTAGTAGTAATAGTAAAAGCTGTAGTAGCAGTAGAAGCAGAAGTAGTAAAAACAGAGATGCAGTAGCAGTAGCAGTAGTAGCAACAGCAGCAGCAGTAGTAGTAGTAGTAGTAGAAAAGGATGTAGTAGCAGCAGCAATAGTAGAAACAGATGTAGTAGTAGCAGTAGCAGTAGCAGTAGTAGCAGCAGCAGCAGCAGTAGCAATAGTGGTAGTAGTAGTAGCAGTAGTAAAAGACGTAGTAATGGTGGTAGTAGCAGTACCTCTATAATGAGGTTGAGGTCTGTGGTCAGGGCCTGGACTCGGTGGAAACTCGCGATGAGAGAAATGGGTAAAAATCCCTGAGCGTCCATTTTCCTCCGGAGGAAAAAGTCTCGCTCCAGATTATGAAGGCTGAAGTAATACTCGCTGTGACAGAGAAGAAAACACAATCATCTCCGTTAACAAACATCTCAAAGGCAGAACTTTTCTGGTGGAGGTTCTGTCACCTGCTTGTTTCTATGGATACATCATTGCTCCATCTGGAATGTTCCACAGTGTGACATTAAACTGATCTACGTTACATCTATTCAGTTACAGGTGGATTTATAGCTCAAAAATACCTAGAAAAACAGAAATTTTGACTGTGAGCAGGGTGGCCTCTCCACAGACCTGACCTGAAACTTGGTCTGGTTTGATCTCCATGAAGATAGAAAGGTTTAATGCCATATTGTGAAAGATTCCAGACAAAGCAACAACATTTCCATGGAGAAAAGCATTAAATGTTATAGTAAAGGACAATATGCTGAAATATTAATACTAATACTAATAAAGTTAAAGTAAACTTAAGCCTTTTTGACTTATATTTGGTCTCCCAGTTAATACCTTGTTAACGGACAGCACTTATTTCAAAATACTCGCTTTTACATCACTTAGAGCTAGACGCGATATTTTGCTTCTCTGGAAAATCTGCTGCAGTTTTCACACCCAAAAATAACTAACTTAAATGAAATAAAACTTAAATAAACATTACATAATACCCAGAAGCACACCAGAAATACATAGCATATCTTTAATTAAATCAAATATTGACAATGACGTTAAATCCAAAAAGAGTAAATGTTTAGTAAACTAATGAAGCCTTCCCTCTCTTCATGGCTGTGGAGGTAAAAGCTGCTTGAGGCAAACCGGGAGCTTTGTGTGGAGGAAAAATGGGTGAATGAGTTTGAATGAGTGAAATCAGACTCAGAGAAAGCCCTGGTCAAAGCAGCGTTAAGTAATTGCCTCCAGAAACTATATTTAGATCTGGGTCTGCTCCAAGAGGGTTCATAATGAGAGACTGAGGCCCGGGCTGTGTGAGAGGGAACAGCGCCCCCTGCAGGTCACACGGAGAGGTGCGTAAGACGAAAACACGTGGGAATGTTTAGTTTTTAGTGTGGGAGTCAAACTGTGCCCCTGTGTAACTACTCTTATCAGTACAAAGTTTTTCTAAAAATAAGGTATTTGCGAAACAAACTTCGAACTTTGAATCCATTTTGCAGGTTTTATATTTGTTCAGTCATATTTGTCAGTTTAATTCTAGTTTAGTTCTGGGTATACTAGTAGTTTGATGTGTGTTTTTTGGTCATGGTTCAATCCCAGTTTAGACCAAGTTAAGTTTTTGGTCTGAAACTGGACCTGGTTCAGTTTTTGGTTTTAGTCTTAGTTTAGATGTGGTTGAGTTCTCATAATTGTTCTGTCCATCTGAGTAAGACCGCGACACTGATTTGGGTCTGGTTTAAATCCTGATGTAGATGTGGTTAGTCCTGGTGTAGTCTAGGTTTAGTCCTTGGCTTTAGTCCTAGTTCAGATGTGGTTTAGTACTCGTATTTTTGTCCATTTTAGTTAATACCTTGACATGGGCTTGGGTCCAGTTTGTAGATTTGGTTAAATTACAGGGTTTAGTCCTGATGTGAGTTCTTGTTTAGTCCTCATTTAGCACTTATTTAGACCAGTTTAGGTCCTAATTTAGACCTGGGTTTAGTTATGGTTAAGACCTAACTGTGGCCCTGGGTCTGGCCCTGGGTCTGGCCCTGGGTCTGGCCCTGGGTCTGGCCCTGGGTCTGGCCCTGGGTCTGGCCCTGGGTCTGGCCCTGGGTTTGGAAATGATTTGAACCCTGGTTAAGACCTAGCTGTAGTCCTGATTCTGGTCCTGGGTTTTCCCTGGGTTTAATCCTGGTTTAGCCCTGGGTTTAGTCCTGGTTTAGATGTGGTTTAGTACTCATAGTTGTTCCTTCTGTCCATTTTAATTAAGACCTCAACACTGGTTTAGGCCTGGTTTAAGTCCTAATGTAAATTTGGTTAGTCCTGGTCTAGTCTTGGTTGACTTCCAGGTTTAGTCAAAGTTATGTCTCATGTTTGATGGTGATTGTGCAAGCGTCAATGCACCCAGAGACCCAGAGACCTGGACCAAGTTTACTTCAGCTCTCGTTCAGTGCCTGCATAATTCTACAGTTAGTCCTTGTTAAGTCTTAAATTACGGGGTTTAGTCCTGATTTGAGTTCTTATTTAGTCCTCGTTTAGCACTTGTTTAGACCAGTTTAGGTCCTAGTTTAGACCTGGTTAAGACCTACCTGTAGTCCTGGTTTTGGTGCTTTTTTGGTGCTGGCTTTGGTCCTGGTCCTGGTCCTGGTTTTGGTTCTGGTTTTAGCCCTGAGTTTAGTCCCTGTTTAAACCTGATTTTAAATCTGGTTTTAGCCCTGATGGAGTCTTGAAGTCACGGTTCAAGTCACGGTTCAAGTCACGGTTCAAGTCACGGTTCAAATCACGGTTCAAGTCACGGTTCAAGTCACGGTTCAAGTCACGGGTTTAGTCCTGGGTTTAGTCCTGGGTTTAGTCCTGGGTTTAGTCCTGGGTTTAGTCCTGGGTTTAGTCCTGGGTTTAGTCCTGGGTTTACTCACATCTGCCGTTTGATATACTCCTTGAGCAGTTTCTCGTCCACTGTGTACATCTGGACTTTGTTCCCGTCGTCATAGTAATAAACCATATTAGTCCCAAACTCTGAAGGGACCTGAACAGAACCGTCCGACGAATCCTGGAAACCAAACTCATATCGACCTGAAAAGAGAGAGACGCATTCTCAGATCTGTGTTCTAATGTCACTTCCTGGTCCCAAACACACCTGCAGTTGTGTTTTGTTTCATTCACACGTTTAACACACAAACCTGCACATTTAGGCTGAGTTCTTCTCTCAGTCAGAAAACACCTGTTCCACCTTGTGATGTCATGTGGTTATAATGGAAGTGCTCCACTGTGTTTTTAAAACTCCATACACCTTCACTAGAACCATCTGGATCATTTCAGCCCCGGAATTGCCAATTTCTACAAAGGGTAAAATTTGTTGTTCACTTGAAAACTACCGCTTCATGACATCACAAGGTGGAACAGAGCATTTGGAGCTTTGGAGATGCATATACTAGTTTAACACAGATCAGAGTGTAGTATAATACGGGACCTTTGGAGACCTCATTATGCAAATTTGACTCGTGTGATCTTTTAGTCATGTGATAATGTTTCCTTCTCAAAAACAGACCTGCAGTTGTGTTTTGTTTCATTCACACGTGTTTGAGTAACTCTGCATTATTAGTCTGTCTACATGTCAAATCTCAAAATGCTCTGTTCTACCTTGTGATGTCATACAATTTAACAGCTTCTTTTACCTTTATTTCAGCTGAGATCAGCAATTCCACAGAAATGGTCTATGTATGGGAAACACTGCTGCGCAACAAGATGTGTTTTCAGGAGTATTTCAAATTGACATTTAGTATTTGCAAAAATAATATCTCTTGGTTGATTATTCCAAGCAGACATTGATGTGTATTTTAGAGTGCTTCTTCCATTGTTTGTTTTTACTTTAGGTAATTTGAATCTGCTCGCTGTGGCAGCTCTGGTTTCATACTGGTGCCGATCTGAACTCAAGCGTAACTCTTGATAAAGCACATTTGGTCATTTAGTTACTATAATGTTTCTTATTAGATTAAGCCGGGAAGCTCTGAGTCTCTCTTTTACTTCTAACCAGGACAACACAGAATGCAAATGTTGGTTCTATATGTACATTTACGAGCACATCAAGCTGCCTTGATTATAGTGAAGGTGTAGGGAGTTTACAAACACAGTGGAGCACTTCTTGTATCACCACATGACATCATAAGGTAGAACAGAGTGTTTTCAGTTTGAGAGAAGAACTCAGCCGAAATGTGCAGGTTTGTGTGTTAAACATGTGTGAATGACACAAAACACAAATCTGGGTGATGATGAAACTACATTAGAACATAGATCAGAAATAGTGTATTATGGAACCTTTAAGCTGAAAGTAATAATAGTTGTGTTGTTGGATCAGTTCGTAGATATAGTGATATGTGTACCTCTGCCACGGCCCCTTCCTCTCCCTCGTCCTTTGCCTCGCCCTCTCAGTCCTCCTCTTACACCATTTTCACTCCGAACGCTTGAATCGTCTGTGAAATCACGAGGGTCTCTCCTCCAACCTTTACCACAACACAAGAAACACACACCAGAAAGAACATCAGCAACCATATGCATCTTCAGATCCTAGAAATATCTGAAAGACAATCCTCATCTCATCATCTGAAAGATGAGATGAGGATTGTTATTCCCTTCACAGAGAGGTGGTTTTCACATACTAGAGCCAGTTTTCTCTGTTGATTACTTGGGATGTAACAATATCTAAATCCAAATATTTTCTCTATATACATCTCATGATACAATATTTATTATAAAATATTAAAACTAAACTGCAAATTCTCCACTTTTTCCTTTTTAAAACTCCGTGACAAGGCCTAAACCAAAGAACTAAGATTTAAAAGTGTTTATAACAATTATTTCTTCATGTACTAGTAGGCTGCACTGAAACAGAGCAAAGGATCATGGTCTATGTAGTTCCCTTTGTTTTTTTCAGTGATTGCTGCACTATAATTATTAATTTAAGCAAAGACACTTACAATTCGATATATTGTGATGGTCCATGATATTATTGAGACTTTTGACGATGTGATACAACTAGGAGTGTAACGATATCCAAGTCTCACGATACGATATCGTCACAGTATGAACCTCACAGTATGATATTTATTGCGATATCATGGGAAAGTTCACGATATGGTGGGAGGCACACGATTAGGGATGTAACGATATCCAAATCTCTCAGTACGTTATTTTCACAATATACATCTCACGGTACGATATTTATTGCCATATTTTGTGAAGGCTAACAAAACTGTTAAATGCCTTGACAAGACTTAATGCAAACAACTAAGGCTTAGAACTGTTATTTCTGTTATTTCTTCTTGTAGTCTGCACTGAAATGGAGCAAAGGATCATGGTCTATGTAGTTCCCTCTGTCTTTTCTTAGCCACTGCTGCACCATAACTCTTCACTTAAGCAAAGAGACTTGTAATTTGATATATTGTGATGGTCCATGATATTCTTGTGATAACTTTGACGATACGATATCACAATATTTCGGTTATTGTTACATCCCTATCGAGTACATTAAACTTTGACAAGAAATCTGACTCTACACAAAGGTTGGAACCTGTATTTAATTGAACTGTCAGATTTTCTCTTCAAATTTAATGCCACAAAATATAATAGAATGAGAAATAAATAATGTAATAAATAAATAAATGCAAAAGGTAATTCAGAAATACTGGACCAAGAACTGTATTCAAACAAAAACCTGCTTTTTAACAGTATTCATTGTAAAAATCTGTATTGAACAATGTTGGTCGATAGAATGTTGTGATGTCGTCTGAAACCCAGCAGTTGATAATGTGGAAAACTCAAAGTTGGAACCAAGCAAAAGAAATGGATCACTGTGTAACTTTCTGGTAGAGGGTCCGTCAAATGTTTTTCTCCATGAAGATGTTGTTGCTTTGTCTGGAATGTTTCACAGTATGGTATTAAACCCTTTTATCTTCATGGAGACCAAACCAGATCAAGTGAGAGGTCAGATCTGTGGAGAGGCGACCCTGCTCACAATCAGAATGCAGGTTTGTTTTTCTAGGGATTTCTGAGTTATGAAACCATCTGTAATTGAATAAATGTAAAGTAGAGCTGTTTAATGTCACACTGTGGGACATTCCAGGGAGAGCAATGATATATCCATAGAAACAAGCAGGTGACAGACCCTGCCCAACCAGAAAAGCTACACAATGCAACTTTAAAAATACACAATGCGACTGATCCAGACCCATGCAAACGATCTCAGAGCAGTCAAAGCGTTCAGAACATGCAGTGATTGGTGAAGCAGAGACAGACTTACTCCGGCTGCTATCATGCTGCCTGTTACTACTGGACGACAGCGGCGGCGTGTGATTGGGCGAGGCGGGGTCATGTGATTCGTCAGCCGACTTGGCGCCCTCGTCCCGGGACGCCTCCTCCAGCGGCAGAGAGACCCACTTACGTTTGTTTCCTATCGACGTTTCACACGAGAACAGCAGTGAGCACAGAGCAGCAGAGATTAAACAAAACGTACCCAAAATCTACCAAGGAAAAGTCCAGTACACATGGGTTTCAGAGGGTTTCAGAAGGTTACAGAGGGTTTCAAAGGGTTTCAGAGGATTTCAGACCATTGCCATAGTAATTTGCAATTTAAAAGGTCTTGTATTACGCAAAATTGACTCTTGTGAGCTTTAAGGCATGTTATAATGTTGTTACCACATCAGAAACAGACCTGGAGTTGTGTTTTGTTTCATTCACACAAGTTTGAGTAAACCTTCAAATCCAAAGCTCCAAATGCTCTGTTCCACCTTGTGACATCATGTAGTGGTAGTTTTCAAGTGAACAGCTCCTTTTGTCTTTAGTTCAGGAGAGATTAGCAATTCCAGATCTGAAATAATCCAAATGATTCTAGTGAAGGTGTATGGAGTTTAAAAACACAGTGGAGCACTTCCTGTATCACCGCATGACATCACAAGGTGGAACAGAGCGTTTTCAGTTTGAGAGAAGAACTCAGCCTAAATGTGCAGGGTTTGTTTGTTAAACATGTGTGAATGAAACAAAACACAACTCCAGGTGTGTTTGTGATGAGGAAACGACATAATAACATAAATCAGAAAATAGAGGAATATCGTCCCTTTTAAATGAAAATATTACATGTTTTGAAAAGTCCTAAAAATGGCATCCATAACAGGAAACAGTGACCTAAGGCTGTGCAATATGATTACTTTTTAAAAAATGTAATAAAACAATTTCATAATTTTTAAAACAATAGAACAGCTTTCAGTTTGCCTTTCTTGAACAAAAACAACACAGACTTTTAAAGGTGCACTGTGTAACTTTTCTAGTGGAAGACTGTCACCTGCTTGTTTCAATGGATATATCATTGCTCTGCCTGGAATGTTCCACAGTATGACATTAAACAGCTCTACTTCACATTTATTCAGTTACAGGTGGTTTTCTCAAAAAATATCTAGATAAACAGGCATGTGTGAGTGGGGTCGCCTCTCCACAGATATGACCTGTAACTTGGGCTGGTTTAGTCTCCATGAACATAGAAAAGTTTAATGCCATACTGTGTAACATTTCAGACAAAGCAATAACATTTCCATGGATAAAAGCATTTGACGGACCCTCCACCAGAAAAGTTACACAATGCACTTTTAAGCTTTCAAATTTCTTCCTCCATAGTATATGGTCTCCTCTAAACCAAAGTCTTTTCTTGACTTTTATTGACTGGCTGTAGATCTCTCCATTAAAAAAAACCCAGAGCTGTTTATGGACTTCATTTAGACTGAAATTTGAATATTTGCTCAGAAAACCCACTGAAACCCATGGATATTTGAAGCAAGTATTTAAAATTTTGATCTGAAAAGCCCCAAGAATTTGAGCTTCCTCGTTTGTTTTTTTTGGGTGGTTCATTTCAGTGTATGAAATTAATAACTCATTAAATCTAGAGTTATTTCTGGTGTATTTTATCATTTCAATAGCAAAATGTATTCTCTGGAAGCTCATCACCATAAATGCATTTACCAAACAAAAGCGACCAACAGAAACCAGGCAGAGAAGAAGAACCGACCGAGAAGTGAACCGGGGACCTTCTGGTTTTGTGAAGTTGTGAAGGTGAACCGTGTAACTTTTCTGGCGTGACACTTGTTGTCTCCATGGAGATTGTTTTGCCTGAAATATTCCACAGTAAGACTTTAAACATATCCATGCAGACAAGTGGGTGATGTCACTAGACCAAGTTTGGGGTCAGATCCGTGGAGAGGCGACCCTGTTCACTGTCAAGATTTCATGTTTTTCAAAGATATAAGTTTAATGCAATACTGTGGAACTTTTCAAAGAAATATCCATGGAGACAAGCAGATCAACCAGAAAACTTACACAATATACCTTGCTGCCCTGTTCCTTCAGTATATTTACTGTAATTTTTCAACCATGAGGTTTAATATGAAATATAATGTTGCTAATGAAATGTACACTTAAATCTATAAATAAAACAAAAATATAAAAATATTGATCAAACAAGACAAACTGGTTAATGTATTCTTTTTAATTTCAGGCAGTCGTCGTGCTTTCATTAAATCTGTCTCAAAGTCAGACACTTCATTCCTCTCATGCAATGGGCATTTTGACAAAGATCAAATGTGGTCAGTGAATTTTACTGGTGGAATAATAATTAGAGTAAAATAAATTTTTAATCTCCATGTAGACATTGTTTTTACATTTCTACACTGACCTCCTCGTGGACAAATGAAGAATTACACTTCTCATCTGAGTCTCAATATTGACACTATGAAAAAGGTTCGATTCTCAATATTGATTTCAAAACCTTTTTCACAACGGCTGGAAGTGTCCCGCTGTAGGGTTATGGAACTTCCAGTTAATGGTTTTCTGTGGTAAAATGTGTGTGTAAATGTGTGTCATATTCTCCAGCAGCTTCATAAATATGCCCCATCACCAAATCTTCAACCAACAAACATTCTAAACATGTAGAATTTATCCACAACTATCAAGAGAAGAAAGACCAAAACTTAAAGGAGAACAATGACCACACATTAGTCACACACTCAACTAAACTAACGTTATGGTCATGAATAAAACAGAAGGAACTTGCTCACTCAGACTGATTCTGGAATTAAAATTAACAATCGATTTTATGATGTAGTAGATATTAACATAAATAGATTTGTGCAGTTTGAATGTTAGAGGTGTTCACAGATGACATCTGTAGCATTCAAACTGCACAAATGGCATCATTAACTCAGAAGTAGCCAGCTACTGTTGTGCCAGAGCCAAATCAGGAAAATATATATTTCATTTATTTTTCTGAGAGGTAAGGAACACGGGGCACAGTTTCAAAACCACATCTTTCCTTGTCAAAATGCTGCCACTCAAACACACAAATGCACATTAGTTGACTCCATTTCCTGTCTCTCACCTCCTCTCTTCTTCAGTGAGTTGCTCTTTTCGGTCCCCGGTTTGTCCTCCTGTTCTTTGGTTCCCCTCTCGGGCTCTTTGGATCCCGTCTCCGAGGCCTGTACTTCCTGGTTCTCTTTGCTCTCTCCTCCGTCGTGGCTGCTCTCAGACCTTCTGTCAGGTCTCTCTCTCCTCTTTTCTCTCTCTCCTCGCTCTCTCCGGTTTGACTGAGGCTTTTTACTGTTGCTGGTGCTGTTCACAACGTTCTGCTGCAAATGAAAAAAAAACAAAACAAGAAAAGAGCTTTAGTTTAGTTAGCTTAAGTTCATTTGATTGTATTTGTATTAAAATCATGTATAAATGTTGTACTTTAGAATATTGTTAAAGGTGTATTATGTAGGGCTGAGTATCATTAAGAAGTACGATACGATACATATTGCAATACATAGGCCACAATGTAATACATTTTTCGATACAGTGCACTTTTGATTCAATATGATTTGATACGATATATTTCAAATTGATTCACTACGGTTCAGTGGAAAACAAAGGCTAAATCATGGCTGTGACACTAAAAGTTTATTACATCCACTAAGTTTGTTAAGTTAATATGAAAAACACCCATTTTACTCAGTGAAACAGTGAAAATGTCAACACAACTTTAGGAAAATACACTTGCCGATATATCGATACAGCAGCCCAGGATATCGATGCTTTATCATCAAATTAACTGATGTGATACATCAATATTTTTGTACACGTTTTGGTTTGTTTGGAGGTTCGTCACCTTGTTGTTGCTATGGCGATGTCATTGCTCTGCTTGGAATGCTCCATAGTACAACATTAAACAGTGCTACTTTACATTTATTCAATTAAAAGTGGTTTTATAGCCCAAAAACACCTCGAAAAACAGACATTTTCCACAGATCTGACTTGCAACTTGGTCTGGTTTAGTTTCCATGAAGATAGAAAGGTTTAATGCTGTACTGTGCGACATTTCAAGCAATAATATCTCCATGGAGAAAAGCATTTGACAGACCCTCCACCAGAAAAGTGACACAATGCACCTTTAGGACTGTAATTCTTTAAAGTGCATATGACGCTTTTCAGGTTTTACTAATAGGTCTATTTCGCATGGCTAGTTCAGGTTTTCTCGTTTACATTCATTCTTTTGGAGGATTTAACAGAGTCCTGCAAGAACTCAACATTTAAATGTCAGGACGTGGACTGCAGGTCACAGACGGATAAACTCAAGACTGTTTGTTAAAACCTTCATGACCTTTATGTAAATACCTGACAAACGTCTGTGTTTACAAGTATGTGTTTGTGTTAGCTTCAAGAAAACACAAAATAAAACATGTTAAATTACTGATGTTAAAATAAGGCTACAATCCAAATGATCTCACATACAAAAACAATAGACTTTAGATGTATTTTAATAACGTTTTTGAGGTTTTATGTTGAGCTTTAGATGAGGTTAGCATTAGCATTAGCATTGAAACTAAATGCACCCACTTTTGTAAACACCAAAGTATCTTCTAGCAAGGTATTTATCACAAGTTAGTTTGTGATCATTACTTTAACTTATAAATAAAATATATTAATGTGGGAGAAAATAATTAGTGACATGTTTGTGTAAATGTACAGTCATACAAGGCACTTCTATTTCCATTTTGGAAAAAAATACTGACATCCAGTATCAATATCGGCTGATACTGATACCAGAACTGACGTATCACTCATCATTTTGATCACGAGCCCTAGTTCAAACTGAGAAATAATGGACTCTATTCACGGTTACATCATAAAACCAGCAGAAGTTTGGAAACATGTGGATGACGACTTCCTTTGGGCTCTGTCAAAATCTGGGAAAACTGAGAAAATGGCCTGGTTTTCATCATCTAGATGTTGTATTTGTTTTTTTTCTTTTATTAATTGCCCATTAATGTGTGTATTTTAATTTGCCTAACTTGATACAAAAAAAAACAAACATTGTAGCATTCTGTTATGTTGGGCAGATCAACGGTTTCAACCTGCTGTCTGTAAGTGACATGAAGACACGATTAGAGTCGCGTCCCCCATGAAAAGCTTTTGCAGGTTGAGAAAACGATGTTTCCAAATCTATGATTTTATCACATGCCCAGTGTTGGGAACTACACAGGAAGTCGTCATTCGTATGTTTCCAAAAATCTTCCAGTAACCGTGAATAGAGTACACAGTTGGGAGAAGAAAGGCTAACTTAAGTGCATGAAAATGAAAATCTTCCTGTGACTGTTTTCAGGGAGCGAACAGTCAAATGCAGCTGCTCTTAAATACATGGAGGAGACACATGTTTCACTTTGTTCAGCCTAATTATCCGTGAGCTCTGGTGTTCAGCTCACATAAAGATCCTGTGTCTGTGTACTTAGTGTCATTAAACCTGATATTATTCTCCATGGAACAGCTCATACAGTATCTGATTTTACACTGTACACAAGTTCAAAAACCTCCCGCAACACAAACCAAAATTATTATTATTATTATGATTATATGAGACTAGATGAGACTACTCATTTTACTAAAGCGTGCTTGTAATCAAAATATTAAAAATTTCATTAATATGTAAAAAATATATATATATAATAATGGTTTGGCTATTTTTTCTGTTTCCAAAAAAATAAAATAAAATAAAATATTAATAACATAAAAAATAATAATTTTTAAAAATGACTTGTGGTTGGAAATGACAGCACACTGGGGAATTCCATAACTGTTAACTAGCAAACATCTTCTACACTGGGATAAAACTCCTAATGTACACACAAATTACGATTTGACAAATAAAAAATATTAGGAAACACCTTTCTTTTGCTGAAATCATGTTTAAAGTGTCAGAAAAAATGTGTTTCTTGAGTGTAAATTGTGCCGAACTTTTAGACAGAATTCTCCCAGAGTGATCTCAACTGTGTAGGACTCTCTAGAACTCTCCACTTCCTGTGTTTTTCAACAGATTTTCCATCTGTTCTTGTTAAATTGCTTCTTGATCAGTGTAAAACTATTATTTATATTTGCAGCGTGTGCTACCCTACCAAATTAACTCTTAGAAAATTAGAGAATCATCAAAAAGCTGTCACTTCAAATGCTCTGTATTTGAGTTTTCAGTCTATCTCAGCAATGTGTCGGACCATATAAGAACTTTAAACATGTGGCAGGAGGTCCATGAAGCTGCGGATTAACACTGAAAACTATTTGAATAATAAGACATTTGGGTGTCAAAAAAAAGCTAGAAAGGTTTTGTAGCTCCCAGGTATTTGAGGAAAAATGCCCCAGTACAGATGTATGATATTTGCAGCTCTTGAGGTCAAAATAAGACTGCTGTGTACTGTCTGGATCCAACATGTGTTTCCATCCAAAAAGTGTTTTATTGTCAGAAAATCTGAAAGTGTGTTAGCATGCTAGTTGTTGTTAGTTTTTTTTTATAATTTATTTATTTTTTTTATTTTGACTTGAACATTTACACTTATATAATTATGCCTTATTTGAAACATGCTATCTTTTTTGTTACTTATTTAGAAGTTATTATTACTATTTAAATTCTTTCCTCTTTGTTATTATAATAAAAAAATCATTTGCAAGAGTTGTAAAAAGTGCTTCTAAACTCATGGTGAGTAATTCAGACGCTCTGAATGCATAAGGTAAGTGAGGAAGAACGGTTTAAAATGAATTCTATTTTTCATGTTTTTAAGAGTAAAAATCAGGTACAAAGACTGCAAGTAAACAAGAGACAATACAGCGTGTTTGTAGTAGTCACCTCTTTGGCGAGTTCTCCAGGCGTGGGCCAGTTCGTGATGTCACTGAAATCACTCGACTGAAAAGAAAAAAAAACAACATGAAACAACTATTTTACAGACACATATTCTACACTGTTTTCTGATCTCTGTTCTAATGTCGTTTCCTCATCACAAACAGACTGTACCTGGAGTTGTGTTTTGTTTCATTCACATGTTTAACACACAAACCTGCACATTTACAATGTGTTCTTCCCTCAAATTGAAAATACTCAGTTCCACCTTGTGATGTCATGTGGTAAGACAGGAAGTGCTCCACTGTGTTTTGTCAAAGGGATGGTACAGCATCTTGTGACACAAAATTGCCACAGGATCATGCACACGAGAGCAAAATGATCTTGTGAGATATTTTTCCAAGAGTTTCCATCTGAGTTGGACAAAAAAGTGACTTTAATAGGGGTGTGCGAAACATTGAAATCGATATATCATTTAATGTGGTGGTACAGTATCGATATTATGGACTGCTTTATCGATATATCACTAAGAGTATTTTTTTTTTGTATATTTTACTAAATTATTTTGTTACAGCTACAGTTCTATTGTTTGTTTAGAGGAAGGAAACTCATTTATGCAACACATTACATTTTCACAGTTTTGAGGATTAAAATGTTTGTGTTTCATATGAACTTTGCACAAGAAGTGGTTTAACAAAGACTTTTAGTATCACAGGCATGATTAAGACTTTATTTTTTACTGAAATATCGATTTGAAATATATCGTATTGAATCAAAAGTGCACTGAATCAAGATATGTATATGATATGAATTGTATGTGCTGTATCGTTGCCTGTGTATCGAGATATGTATCGTATCGGCAACATCTTTACGATACCCAGCCCTAGTCTTTAACAGTTCCAGAAAGCAGTACTAGAATGAAAACAACAACAACAACAAAAAAAGATACTAAATGAAATAAATAAAAAAAATGAGGCCAGAACTGGAAACTGAATCATGAAATTCATGTATTAGGAATTGTGTTAAAATCTCGTCTTGTCTCGTTCTCATGGATCCAATCTCATATCTCGTCTCGTCTTGTGGAAATTGCATCTCGTTCCATTCCTAGTAAAGGTAGCTGTTAACTTGAAAACTACCACTTCATTTCATCACAAGGTGGAAGACAGTGTTTTGAGCTTTGGAGATGTAGACAGAATAATAATAAAGCTACTCAAACATGTGTGAATGAAACAAAACACAACTCCAGCTCTGTTTTTGAGGGAACAACATGATTATAACATGGCTTAAAGTTCAGACACAGGACCTTTAAAAACATTCATCATTTAGCTGAGAAGAGAAAATAGGTCAGTTTTCAGTTTTACATTTGCCAAGAAAGATCAGATAAACTTTTGAAAAACAATTTGTACAAACAGAGTGCAGATATGGTTCAAGGCTGCACAGGTGAGAGAAGTGGGGCATTTTACAAACCACAGCTCAAAGTGGAGAGAGTATCACTATAATGACAAATAAGGATTTCTGAAGCAATACCACACTTTATTCATAATTATTATCTACTGAGAATCCTTCAGTCACCATGTTTAAACCTTTTTCATTAAAGAAACGGAGATTTCATTAAGATTTTCTCATTATGGCCCAACTGTGTCCGCAGATACGAGGTAAACATGTTCAAATCAAATACAACTTTTAATAAAAACAACTAATATGTTGATTCACTAAGCATTATTATTATGTCAGATGCCCTCCCTGTGTCTCCTTATTCTGTGTTATTAAGTTATAATTTGTTGTTTTGGTTCTCAAATGATTATCCAATCAGAAAGCAGAATGAGCCTCACATGACTCTCTCATTTGCGTTGCCAGTTTCAATGGTGAAGTTCAGTGTGTTTAAACCTGACATGTTTCTCTCTGCTCTGAACGGTCACTCCCTAAACCCCTGCACCTGCACCTGCACCTGCACCAGTCATGAGTCAGTGCTGGTGCAGCCTCTGCAGCTCAAGGAGGGAATTCTGGAAGTTCTGAGCTTTTACATGAGACCTGAACATAAACAGAGAATGAGACACTTGTGTGTCTCTATCTGCAGGTGAAGGGTCTCCAGACACAGGGTCAGTTGTGATTGTAAAACCTTTTGTAAAACAGTAAAAGAGCAGGTTACATACAGGTCCTTAAAAGATCTATAGAAAATGTACCATAGACTATTATTAGCTTGTCGTGTGGGAGCGTGGGTGATGTAGGCTTGTGGGCGGAGCCTCGTACAGAATCTTACAGCTAACCATAAGGAGGGTTTGAACAGGGCCCAGGAGAGATCGCTTCAGCCATGTTTTTGATGAGGGAACAACATTATAACATGGAACAAAGCTCAAACTAAATATATTTTGCATAAAACCTCCTCTTTAAAAAATTGGTGCTGTAACAAAACACACAGCACAGACCCAACCACAGAACTCTAATCAAATCTGCAGCTGAACCCAAGATGGTGTTGTAATGTTTTCAGTGGTATGTGCTGATTAGCTCATGGGCCCAAAAATAATTCTCTCTTCTGCATTTACTTCCTCAGTCTAGGTTAGTTCCTCCCACCCGTGTGAAGTCTGTAACGTTCACGGCGTTTGGACCAATCAGAGCGAGAGCTGCTAGAGAGGAGCAAGTGTGGGCTCAGAGAGCGGCGAGGCTCAATCTGACAAAGATCATTTGAGGAGTTTTGAGAATTTAAAAATCCTCCTACAAAATTCAGCCTTTGTGAAAGCCGGATGCCCTGTCAGAACATGGGAAGTCTGAATTCCCAAAATGCACTGTCTGTGGGAGAATTCTTTCTGGGCCCAAACTCTTGGAGCTGCAGTACCTGGAGAGACCACTAGCCTGTCTGGAGCTGGGACACAGGGGGAGGGGCTTATCCAGTTTTTCTTATGATCCATGATATATACAAATAAATGATTATAAACATGCATATACGAAAACAGATAAGACAATACACACAAAGTTTTCAAGACACAGGGATCAGTAAACGCCAAAGAAAAATACTGTTTGACTTGTGGACTCAAAAAACACATGAGTGGATACTCGGCTACAAAAATAATCATTAGTTCCAGCCCAATTTAAGTGAGTGAAAACAGGATTAAACTGGATTAGCCTTTGTTTTGGCAGCACCAACAGTTGTAGTAGTAGTAACAATTGCAGTAGTAGTAAAAGTAATAGTAGCAGTATTTATGACTCATTGTAAATTGTGCATGACAGGCCTCTCAGCACTACACAAGTCCATTATTCATTCTCTCTACACACTTATCTGCAATATACTGGAGCCACACCTGCCCGGGGGCTGATTTACAAATGTGGCTCCGTCAGTCATTTGACCACCAAAGACATTTACATAAAGAAAGATGGTGAAGGCTCTTGCCCAAGGACACAACAGTAAAAGAAGTGTTTAGTGAATGCTTTGTGTGGCAAACAAGTTAAAATATGAAGGTAGCGCCTAATATCTCTCAATCATTCTAAACTCAGTTATAAAGAACCAGAATTTGTCATTTCAGTATTAAAAAAATCATGTAAACAATAAAAAAAAAAAGTAAAATAATTTGAAATAATGTATGTCAAGGCAACACTACTTCCCTTCTGCTTTTGAGTCATTTATTATCCTTCAACAATTAATAAAAAGATATGTAGTGCACTGTGTAACTTTTTGACTGAGGGTCCATCACCTGCTTGTTTCTATGGAGATGTCACTGCTCTGTCTGGAATGTTCCACAGTGTGACATTAAACAGCTCTACTTTACATTTATTCAATTACAGGTGCTTTTACAGCTCGAAAATACCTAGAAAAACAGACATTGTGACAGATCTGACCTGGAACTTGGCCTGGTTTGGTCTCCATGAAGACAGGTAGGTTTAATGCCACACCGTGAAACATTCCAGATAAAGCATTAACATCTCCATAGAGAAAAGCACCAGAAAAGTTACACAATGCAGCTTTAAATAACTTTACACAAGATAGTTTTCTAGTAAACGTTGCAGTTGTTTGGTTTGTTGGCTTGGTCACCGTCTCACTGACCTTTGACTGAATAAATACAGAAAGACTGACGTAGAAATAAATCCTCTATAAATACAAGATTAAATGGACTGATATTTGAAATTTCATTGACGCAATCTGAAAATGTCAAAGTCAAAGTCTGGGTAATTCTCAGCTCTGTACAGAATTACAGTAAAAGTCCCTGTGTCAGAATCTCTGTGGCGTTCATTATGCAGAAAACCTGTTAACCCTGTAGTTTAAACCTCTGCAAACATGTTCTGAAATGTCCCTGTGTGTCAGGTGCCCTCTCTGTGTGTCCATGGAGTCTTCTTTTGTGTAAGAGCTGGTAAACCTGTAGTTTAGACTTTTATAAACATGTTCTGAAATGTCCCTGTGTATATCAGATGCCCTCCCTGTCTCTTACTGAGGTCTAAAGCCCAATTTATGGTCATGCATCAAATTATGTGCGTTGCTGTGAACCCCCCCTGCAGAGCATCTAGGTCGACCGACGTGCACCTCAGAAATTTTGTAACCATGGGTTGAACTGATGCAGAGAGCAGGGGAAAGCGACGCAGACAATAAGGGCTGTGATTGGTCCGCTCTACAGACATTTCCAATTACAATTACTTTGCGGCACATAGACGTCGACGCAGGCCATAAATAAAAAATGACAGGGACAAGGCGACGGCAGCAGTGTGTGTTGAGTTGATGCAGAACTATAACACGGCCTTTATTCTGGAAAAGCTGCTCACCCTGTAGTTTAGTCGTCTATAAACATGTTCTGAAATGCACGGTTGGTCTGCACGATATTATTTTAAAATGGTTACTGAGATTGTGATTAAATTTGCTATTTCTGTTCAAAAAGTAGGATTCTGTTGTAAATCTGAATACAAAACTGTCTAATGTCTAAACTCTAACCCACATCTTTCACCAACTCAGCCCAGTCCAAACCCGTGCGTTTCTTAAAAGCACGATTTTCACATTCACAGAGTTTTTTTTCACTGGTGTACACTTGATTACACAGAGGGAGGAAAAACCTGCCGAAAAGACAAACAGAAAACTCCCGAAGCGGCTCAGACCAGTGAAGGCAGCGCGGGCAGGTGCAGCGTTCCCATGGAGATGACATGTGACAGTGAAGCATGCTGCGTTCAGGGACAGGCTTTGACATACGTATATTACAGTGTGAGGAATGGGGCGGGGCGGCCCTGGGGCTGCTTGGCCTTTAGGCAGGTCTGAGCTGGACAAGTTGGTCAATTAGTCAAAGACAGAGAAATATTCTGTTCCCTTTTTCACTTCTTTGGTAGTTCTGAGTCTCCAGGCAGGATTTCCCACACAAGCACCAAACTGTGTTGCAGCGCCACAGAAGGAAATGAGACAGAGAAAGACAGAAAGACACATAGAGACAGAGAGACAGAAACAGAGAGAGACAGCCAGAGAGAGAGAGAGAGATTAGCAGCCTCGCATAAATGCCAATGGGGGTACACCTGACTCTCCGCCTGCGGCGAGCCGGTGAGAAGGGAAACTTTTCCTCCTGTGCCTCCGGGGACGGGATTCCGGACCCACGGAGCAGAGTGTCCGCAAAGTGCAATTGGGCGACAGCGGTCCTGAGCCCCGTGGGGCACAGAGCTCTGGAGGTCCCTTATGATCAGCCACTGGAATTAGTTTTCAGAAAGCCTTGTAAAATCCCTTGTTGTACCTTTAGTATTTTCTTAGGTCTAATTGTAGTATTTTATTTATTTTTTGTATTATTATATAATTGTTACATTATATTATTTATTTAGTTTTTCCCAAAAAATAAAAAATAAAAAAATAGTGGGAAACACTGTCCAGGTTTGAATTAGAGCTGATTAATCACCATAGAAATCATAATTTGAAAAGACAGAATTGGGAAAAAACCAAGACTGCAATTTTTTTCTCCACAAACATGAAAATGCTAATCCTGCTGTTTAGAATCTGTACAAACATGTTCCTCCCTGTATGTCAGATGCCCTCCCTCCCTGTGTGTCAGATGCCCTCCCTGTGTTTTCATGGAGTCTTATTCTGCATAAAAACTGCTAACCCTCTAGTTTCGATCTGATTCTTGGATTCGTTTGTCAGTTCAGCTTTCAGTCTTTTTGTCAGTTCTTCTGGACATGTTTAAAATGTGAACGTCAAACAGAATCTTGTTACTAAAACAAAAATTCCAAGTATAATTGCAATCACAGTGTTAGTCAGAAAAATCATGTGTGAATGACATTTGAAAATTGAGAATTCTTCCGTTGAAAAAGGAGTGTATGTCTTAACAGGTTAACGGTGCAAAAGGGATAAACATGCTACAACAGTTCTCAAATATTTATGAATGACTTGGAAACTTCAAATTCTAAGTGAAAAAGAACACACATTTCTGGAATTGAGTGGTTCAAACCCCACTCAAGTTCATACTGTTGTTGTGTCCTTGGGCAAAACACATTGTTCTTCATCTTCCAAAGTGTAAATGTGGAAAGTGTGGAGTGAATGAATAAAGATCACAGTGTAACACTATGACAGCTTGTAAAAAATAAGTCCATTATTTGTATTATTTGATGAGGACTCAACTGTTAATTTGTTTATTTAAAGATGCACTATGGAACTTTTCTAGTAGAGGTTCTGCAATCTGCCTCCATGTTTGTCTCCATGGAGATGTTAGAGCTTTGTCTGGACTTGTATGTTTAACATTTTAACATGTTTAACACACAAACCCTGCAGACTTGTGCTGTGTTCTCCTCTCAAACTGAAAACACTCTGTTCCACTTTGTATCATGTGGTAATACAGGAAGTGCTCCAAGGTGTTCTTAGACTCCACACACCTTCAATACAATCATTTAGATGATTTCAATCCTGGAGTTGCCAATCTCTAGTGAACTAAAAGTAAAAAGAGCTTTTCACCTGAAAACTACTGCTTTATGACACTGTTGTGGAAAAAATTATGTATCTTTCGATGATAAATAATTAATTCCTTTGTGAATCTCGATGAGTTTTTGGAATACAGACAAAGGTTTATTCTCGTTAGAGCAGATATGGATGGGGCCTAGATCTGTGTCCCTCCAACAACAAACCCCCAAAAGCACCAAGTTTATATCCACTGAGACCAGAAAACGTACATTTCAAAGTGAGAAGGTGTCGACTCCTGCTGAGGTGTGGCCAGATGTGTTTGATCTGATCTGCTCCATTTTCACGTGTCACTTCCTGACGAGATTAACAAGCAAAAGGAACAGAAGTGTTTACACTGAAGGATCTTTCAAACACTGTCTTTACCAAACCAAATGAGTTTGAGTTAAAAGACCAAATGTGTTTCTAAAAGGTAAACTAATCACTATTTTAATGTAATCAATCATAATCAATATCTTCCTGTGGGAAAAGAACAGTTGTGTCTGTGGAGCTTTGACTCATGTGAATGTCTGGTCTGGACTTACACAAAGACAGATTGAGAGAAATCTTTCCACAATATAAACATCCATCACAACATCACAAGTTGGAACAGACTGTTTGGAGCTTTGGAGATGCAGACAGACTCATAATAAAGAGTTACTCAAACATGTGAATAAAACAAAACACAACTCCAGCTCTGTTTTTGAGAAGGGAACCACATTAGAACATGGTTTAACGCTCACAATAATACATTTTTTGGACCTTTAAGTTACATTTTAATTACTCAGTAACACCTTGAAAATCTCACATTTTTACAGTGAGTGGGGGTCGCCTCTCCACAGATCTGACCTGTACCTTGCCCTGAATAACATCACCTGCTTTTCTGAATGGAAACAGATGAGATTAATACCATACTGTAGAGTACTCAAGACTATGCAATAACATCTCCATGGAAACAGGCAGGTAGCTGACCATTAGTGTGAAAAATTACAGTGTATCTTTAAGCAGGGGACCATCTGCTAAGACTACGGCTGGAAGGATCCTGCAGTGAGAGATCTGTAGAGTCATCGAGAATACAGAACTTCAAGTCAAAAGGAGAAACTGTATATTAAACAAACAACAGAAAAGAGCTGACAGCACTTTGGACACACACTCTCATTTATTTGTATTTTTTAAACTACTTTCTACATTTTATATTAGGAACGTAACAATAACTGAAATATCGTGACATCGTATCGTCAGAAATCTCACAATAGTATCAGAGGCCATCACAATATATCGAATTACAAGTGTCTATACTTAAATTAATAGCCATGTTGATTTTAATGTCTTTCTTATTCTGTAAAGCACTTTGAGTATGAACTGTGCTGTACAAATGAACTCACCTTGTCACCAGGAAAAACAGAGGGAACTACATAGACCATGATCCTTTGGTGTTGGCAGTGCAGACTACATGAAGAAATAACTTATTAAGCACTTTTAAATCTTAATTCTTCATATTATTACAGGACCAAAGGATTTTCAATGCTTTTTCAAGGCTTTTAAAAGGAAAAAGTAGCATATTCACAATTTTGTAAGCCTCCACGACAATAAAAATATAACCGTGATATGCATCCTATCATGAAAATATCATATCGAGGGATCGTTACATCCTGATTTTATATACATACAAAAGACATTAATTATATGTAAACTATAAGTCGACTTTTTTACATAATTTACCCATTTTACAAATCTTCAAAGTAGATTTTCTTCTTCAAAGTCTGTTATTCTAGGTATTTTTGAGCTATAAAATCACCTAGAATTTAATCAAGGTAAAGTAGAGCTGTTTAATGTCACACTGTGGAACATTCCAGGCAGAGCAATGACATCTCCACAGAAACAAACAACCGAAAAGTTACACAATGCACCTTTAAACAACACTGAAAAAAATCTGTCAGAGCAGAACCTCATGTGGTGGAACCTCTCCTAGAACAGTTAAATAAATGAATGAACTCTTTAGTCCTTTAATTTGTCCAAAGATATTTAGTAGTTCTGTAACTTTACTACATAAATCTATATATCTTGCTTTGTATATTTGATATTTTTTGCATTTTGTATGTATATGAAATGCAGAAAGTAGTAAGAAAAAAATAAAAAAGACTGAATGAATGAGAGGGTGTGTCCAAATGTTTGGTAGTGTACACAGCGCTCGCGTCTCATTTTTCTTTCCTCGCTTCCTTCTCCTTGGTTCCTTGTCTCGATTCTGGAGGAAATGTGAGGAAGTCCCGCCCCCAGAGGAGACACTGGGAGAAGAGACGATCTAAACTCCTCACCAATAAAGTTTGATTCTTTTCTTTGGTGTCTACTCCTGAAGGAACGAGGAGAGGAATCCCGGAGAAGGAAGCGAGGAAAGAGAAATGCGACGCGGCCAGTGAAGGAAACCATTCATTACCTGAACATTAGACTTAGAATTAGAGTTTTTATTTTACCTTGCTAGATTTTCTCGTCCGTGGCTTTGCAGCTCTGACCACTTTGAGAGCGTTCTGTTGATCTGTGGACAAAAAAGAAAACAAAATTTAACATACGACTGTAGTAAAACACTGACACTTTTTGACTGGGGGACTGTCACCTGCTTGCTTCTATAGAAATGTCATTGCTCTGTCTGGAATGTTCCACAGTATGACATTAAACAGCTGTTTACATTTATTCAATTTCAGGTGCTTTTAGAGTTCAAAATAACCTAGAAAAACAGACATTCTGACTGTAACTTGGTCTGGTTTGGTCTCCATGAAGATAGAAAGCATTTGGCAGGTCCTCGACTAGAAACATTACACAATGTACCTTTAAATTCACAAGAAATCAATGAGAAATGGGTAGATAAAAATACAACTTCAAAATAACATGGAGGAACTAAAGATTGTAGCATTTGCCATGAAAAAAAACAAACAAACTGTACAATATTTTCTCGAGTAGCTCCTGTTACCCGTTTGTATCCATTGAGATGTTACTGCATTGTCAGGAATGTTCCACACTATGTCATTAAATTGAACTCTCTAGCATTTATGTAATTAAGTGTTTGGTTGTTTTTATAGCTCGAATGAATGTTGTATTACTAAGGGCGGGGACACCTATACACAGATCTGATTTGTAACTTGGCCAATTGTGCCGTGTGCTTGGCCTCATGGAGAGAGACTGGTGGAGGGTTCATCACATGCTTTTCTCCATGGAGATGTTGTTGCTTTGTCTGGAATGCTTCACAGTATGGCAATAAACCTTCCTACCTTCCTACCTTCCTACCTTCCTTCCTACCTTCCTACCTTCCTACCTTCCTACCTTCCTACCTACCTACCTTCCTTCCTTCCTACCTACCTTCCTACCTTCCTTCCTACCTACCTTCATACCTTCCTTCCTACCTTCCTACCTTCCTATCGACCTTCCTACCTATCTTCCTACCTACCTTCCTTCCTGTCTTCCTTCCTACCTTCCTTCCTTCTATCCATCTATTTATTTATTGATTTATTTAGAGACAGGGACAGCGCACAATTTTTACATTAACCTTAATCTTAAACCTTTCTATCTTCATGTAGACCAAACCAGACTAAGTTCCAGGTCAGATCTGTGGAGAGGAAGCCCTGCTTGGTGTTTATTTGTTATAGTTAATCTTAAAAGTGTGTAACTTTTTAGTTGGGGGTCTGTCACCTTGTTTATGTCATTGCTCTGTCTAAAATGTTCTACAGTGTGACTTTAAACAGCTTGACTTTACATTTATTCAATTGAAGGTGCTTTGAGGTGTCAAAAATACCTAGAAAAACAGACATTGTGACTGTGAGTGGGGTCGCCTCTCCACAGATCTGACCTGGAACTTGGTCTGGTTTGGTCTCCATGAAAATAGAAAGGTTTAATGCTATACTGTGAAACATTCCAGACAAAGCAATAACATCTAAAAAAGAGAAACATCTCCACCAGAAAAGTAAATAAAGGTCAAATACATTTTCATTCGTTCGTTTTCATCACTACAGTTTTATTTGCTAATTTGAACTTCCAAACTTGTTGTGACCCCAGTGTAACATTATGCGAGGTGTGTGTAGCGTAGCTTTAGCGCTGGGGTCTGGGAGGGGCACTGGTGCGATGGATGGTGGGGGTGATAAGAGCTGAGGGTCTGAGGGGCTGAGGGCGGCTCAATGGGAGGGAGAAGTACAGTAAAATGAAACCGGCCGCTTCAAATATAGCAACGCGACACACTTTTCAGCAAACTCCACTGACCCACACACACTGTTACCACAGCACTGGACCTTTGCTCGTGTGCGTGTATATGTGCCTGTATGTGTGCACCTGTGTGTGTCTGTGTGTGTGTGTATGTGCGTGTGTCTGTGTGTGTGCCAATTAGGATTCACTCAGTAGAAGTAGGGCTGAGCTATATGGGGAAAAAAACATTGTGATTTGTGTTTCAGAGATATTTTGAGCTATAAAACCACCTGTAACTGAATAATTATAAGGTAGAGCTGTTTAATGTCATACTGTGGAACATTCCAGAAGGCAGAGCAGTGATATATCCATAAAAACAAGCAGATGATCCCTGACCAAAGATTCTGACCATAGGATTCTGTTCAAAGTTCACATTTTAAACACGTCCAGAAGAATTGGCAAAATGACTTAAATCTGTGCTGACAAACTAATATAAGAACATGTTTCAGAACATGTTTGGACCGATCTTTTTGTTCAAAATAAGATGGGGTTTTGGAAGAAAATAAACTACAAAAATGCCAGTTCTGTACTGTAATGTTGTTATATGAATTGTATGTGCTGGTTTGAAATAAATAACTAAATATCTGACTAATTGTGTGATTTTAAATTGATCTTGTGGTCCTAAATAGAAGCTACCATTATAACATTAACTTAATTTTATTTATTTATACAGCACTTTTCTCAGCTTACAGTCTAGGGTTGGTACAAGATCTCGTGCTACAAGATCTCCCGGGATAAAATTGTAACAACATTGTGCACACAAGAGAAAAATAATTGCTAGATTTTTTTCCAAGTGTTTACATTTGCATTGGAAAAAGAAAGTGTTACGTGTTGGTGAGTTCCATCTCTTACAGTTTCAAAAAGCAAGACTAGAATGGAAACAAAACTATGAAATTAAATAACAAAATTGTGTGAAACATGAAGTGTACATAATGTACTAGGATTTATATTAAAATCTTGTTTTGTCTCATTCTCATGGACACAGTGTCATATCTCGTCTCTTCTTGTGGAAATTTTGTTTTGTTCCATTCCTATTACAGTTAAATAAGCGAGCATAAGGCACAGATTAAAACAGTAGAATACAGAATAAAAATAACTGTGCTATAGTACAAATGCAGTTCCATATAAGTGTGCTTCAAATATTTGGTATTTTTCTTAGATAATGTTGATTTTGTTTGCAAATAAATCCAAAATACACAAAAAATTCCTGAGAAAAAATTATACAACTTGGATTAAACAAAAAAAAAAAAGGTTAGAGAGAAAGAGGTTCATTTTCTTATCGTTTAAAGTGTGCGGCTCAAATGGGCAGTGTTGGCACGTCTTTATATCAGATGCCCTCTCCGACACACCCTCCAGTGGAAAAGTGGTAAGTGCTTCATTAACACTGGTCACACAGAGTCTTTGGACGCTGTAGAGTTTAAAAAGGACTCCCTCAGGTCGTCTTCAGTCTGAACTATGTGAAGAATGAGCTTTTGTCGTAGCTCAGATGTCTCTGTGGATTCCCCTCTTTCTAAAGCTCCTTTTACTCCCTTCTGTTTTCACAACTAAACTCATAATTAAATGGTGACGGTGATTATTACAGACCAGTGCTTTTCTGTCAGTGAGGGACGTGCTCAAAAAGTGCAGATTAAAGAAAAGTCCTGGGTTTCAGATGGCATCACAACATTCTATTTGACAATATTATTTAAAGAGTCTATATTATACTATTTTCTGATCTATATTTCCTATTTTAATGTTTCTTCATCACAAACAGACCTGGAGTTGTGTTTTGTTTCATTCACACATGTTTAACAAACAAACCCGGCAGATTTAGGCTGAGTGCTTGTCTCAAACTGAAAACACTCTGTTCCACCTTATGATGTCAAGTGGTTATACAGGAAGTGCTTCCACCCGTTTTAAAACTTCATACAATTTCACTAGAATCATTTGGATAATTTCAGCCCTGGAATAGCCAATCTCTACTGAAAGAAAACTATCACTACATCACATTACATCACGTCTGAACCATGTTTTATGATATGATTATTATTATTTTATGAAGTGATTATTGGAATATGACCAAATTTTGTCCGTTACATCTGTCTGTGACTCACTCTTGACTCACACTTGATGCAGGACAAGATGCTCGTTTCAGTCTTGTGATGAATTAACGTTAATATTAAACCCACAAGCTGCAAAAAGAGTAAAAAACAAACATCTTTGGAGTTTTATTATAATATATTAATATCAAGTATTATTACATTTGCAAAATACCAGTTTTTGTGTTGGTCGTATCAGCTTAAAGGCCGGTCTATGAAAATATTGTCTGACATTAAACCGGTCTGTAGCACAAAAAAGGTTGGGGACCACTACACTTCATGACATCACAAGGTGGAACAGAGCATTTAGAGCTTTGGAGCTGTAGACAGACTAATGATAAAGAATTACTCAAACATGTGTGAATGAAACAAAACTCCAGGTCTGTTTTTGAAGAGGGAACAACATCATAACATGACTTAAAGTTTACAAGAGGACCCGAAATACAAATGAGGGGAAATTAAAATGAATATTGTTAAAAAGTAAAATGTTCTGGTCCGATCACTAATAGAAATGATCAAGTTTAACATTTGTGAGTTTATTTCATGGCAAAGTGCAGTGTTATTAATGGGGAAAACTGGCTCAAGGTCTCAACTCAAATCATAACATCACATTCTATAATCTGAAAACCACCAATCACACTCAAAGTAGAGGTAAGATCTTAAGACCGAGCCCTAGCCCGACCCGACCCGACCCAAAATTCGGGTCGGGTCGGGTCTAAAATGTCAATCATTACTTCGGGTCGGGTCGGGCTCGGGCTTCAAATAAATATATGTTTATAAAATATATGCTAAAACGATGTGTGGATACTAAACTAAGGAATACTTGTTATAAAATAAATAATATGGATAAAACAGAGAAGTAGTGTAATGTAATTGCTATTTAACTTCTAAAGTTAAATAGCAATTAAAATTAGCAAAAGAAGTTAAATAGCACGTGAACGCCCCCTCTTAATTTATTTAATAATCTTCCCCTCCGCAAGTCTGCATCTATTTTGACCTGGTGTCCCCAATATGGAGGAGCAAGAAGTTAAACTAAAGGCAGGAGAACTGAAAAGACAAACACGCACCAGTAAGAGTGAGGTGTGGAAAAGCTTCAAATTGATTGTTGAAAATGCTACAGAAACTTGCGTTGGCTTCGCTGAATGTCGTCAATGTGGCGCTTTGCTTTCATACGAGAGCAAAAGACTGGCACCTCGACGCTGAGCACTGCTCCTCCTCCCGAGTCCTCACAAATAAAATATGACATTTCGGGTTTGCTTCGGGCTCGGGCCTGCAAATCAAGTTAATTGGTCGGGCTCGGGCCGGGTCGGGTTTTAATACCCGCGGGCCGGGTCGGGTCGGGCTGGATTTTTTAGGCCCGATCTCACCTCTACCTCAAAGAAACAAAGGGAACTACATAGACCATGATCCTTTGCTCTGTTTCCGTCCATTTTACACGATGAAATAAGTGTTACTAAGCACTTTTAAATGTTAACTCTTTGGGTGTTTGACAGAACCACAGGCTTGTCGAGGCATTTTAAAAGCACAAAGTCGTATTCACAGTTTTGTTAGCCTTTACGAAATATTTTACCGTGAGATGTGTATTGTGAAAAGATTGTATTGAGAAATTTGGACATTTTTACATCGCCAGCATTAAACCTGTGAACCTGAAGCTGACCGTGGTTTAACCCAAAGTGATAGAGATCACCTTCAGCCCCAGAACAGAATAAGCCTGAGAAAATTGAACTATCACTTTTTAATTTAAAACAATATGGCTGAGATTTACAGGGCTTTTGGATCGAGTCGAGTTACTGTGTGTTGCAAAAGGCATCACCATCTTTCTACTGATAACTTTTTGTGCTCCACATATTTGCCTCAGCCTTATCACGTTTACCACAAAGCCTTTCGTTTTAAAGACACACAGGGTTTTGGTTTTGGTGGTGGAGTTGGTGGCTACTTACAACTTGCATCAACCAGAAAATTAACTACAATATCTTCTAGTGAAACTTATGGTAGTAAAATTTTTTTCAAGAGATCAAAATTGCAATTTATTGACACATTTTTGAAGTATCATCATTTCCTCCACAAACAACCAAATCTTGTCTTATTCTGCACAAAAACGGCTAACTCTGTAGTTTAGATTTGCGCGAACATGTTCTGAAAAGTAATTATTGGATTAGTTTGTCATACTTCATACTGCAGTCTTTTTTTGGACAGTCATTTCTTTTGGACGTGTTTAAAATGTGAACTTTGAACAGAATCTTATTATTAAACTGTAAATTGCAATCACAATGTTTGTCAGAAAAACTACAAGCATCAGTTTTATGTGGCGCTTTTCACAGTAACACAAAACACTTAAAAACTAAGTAAATACAGTAACCCTAAAACAAGGACAGGACAGACAAAACAGTCATAAGGAGCAGTCATGAGTGCGGGCTGTAGGCTCAGAGGAAAGAGGTGTGTTTGGAGCAGTTTTTTGAAGGTGTTTAGTGAGTCTGTGATTCTGATGTGAGGTCTGGAGATATTTTTTTCAAATTGTAATTTCAAAGAAGATCCACATTTCAGAAGATTGCATTTTAAAGTGTTAACGAAAAACAAATGGACTTCTTTCAATCATAATTTACAATAGAAAATTAAATTGTGAATTGAGTGGGGTATGAATGAGAAAGTGTCTGTCCTCTTCTTTACGCACCATCAGAGGATGGTTCAGTAAACACACATTACAGTGGTCCATCAAAGCATAGTAAAAAAAAAATGAAGTTGCATTAGGTATTAGCATCCAAAAGATGATTTAGGAAGAAATTTGGAAGAAAAAGGAGATGTTTTATAGCAGACATGTCAAACTCAGGCCCGAGGGCCAAATTTGGCCCATAAAATAATTATATTTGGCTCACAAGAGCATATCAAATATGTATTAGAGCTGCTCACTGCACACAGATAGACTATAGAAACATTATTATTTAAAATTATGTTCTTATTTTATATTCTGCTTGTTCTGGATTCGGTGTTTAAGCAAAACTATTATTAAACATTTCTTTTACTAAGAAAAGGTTTAACATTACAGATCTCAAAAGAAGAGAAAACATACAGATAGTGTTGAAATTTTTCAATAAATATTTAGTTTGGCCCACGACTTAGTCCCAGTTTATAATTTTGGCCTTCTGTGAATGAGTTTGACATTCCTGTTTTAGAGGGTGCTCAAGCTGCATGAAGTTTTGAAGCTCCTGCAAATGATTTGGTTTTCCTTATGAATGAAAATTATGTATTATTTTAAATTCATTATTTGTCAAGAAAGCAGCATGATGAAATGGTTGGCCTGAGAATCTAAAAAAAATGTTTGGACCACCCTAATACACATACATACAATTAATGAAAATGATGTGTAAATGTTATCTTTCTAAATTTGCTTATCCATACAAAGTCAGAAGATACGGTGAGTGCGTTACTATGAACAGGGAGGGGCGTATCAGGGCTTGTCCAACTTTGAACTTTTACACCTGTACAGTCAGTGTGGAGCAATCTACACATATTTCCCAAGCTTTCACTGGGCTGTCTCTCTCCTCTGACAGCTCTGTGCGCGGTGGGAGGAACAGCACTGAGCCAGGCCATTGGACATGCAAAACGTGTCTCTGTATAGTGCAACCCCACCAGTAGCAGCAGCTAGCCTATCTCTACCCTGCTCCTAGCACTAAAACAACAATCTTCCCCACTGATTTTAACGTTCTGGCTAGCTGTCATGCTCATTTAAAGCCCGTAGACGCTCATCCAAACAGTCAATTACGCATTCCAGTGTGAACCAACGCGAGCTAAGCGGCTAAAGGCTAAAGAAGTAGCAATTGTCAGGGTTCAACACGTGGTGCGCAGGGGGGGATGGGGGAAAATGTGCCACCATCAACACATCTTGACATTTAAAGTGGTCCATATGCGTCCGAATAAGCGCCTACTGTTTTTGGCACCGTTTGGCACACGTTTTCAAGCGGAATTCCCATAAAATTACGCACCAGAACACGCTCTCCAACACTGCCATGTCAACAGATCGCAAAGTCCAGTCAGTTGGTCAAGTCTTGCACTGAAAAGCGTATTACCTTTCTCTTGACTGCTGGAGGTGATATTATTTATAGGGACGCGTCCTGTGGTCCTCTTCGTCCATGGGTTCACTTTAGGCGGAGGAGCTTCCACGATTTTACGCTTGACGCTTTCACTCGTGTCTGCTCCGTTTTGCTCGTTTTCCTTGTCGTTTTCATTACTTTTCTTTGGGGTCTTCGCTTCATCTCCTTGCTGCGGGGTGTCTGTGCTTTTCTGAGCCTGTTTGTCCAGTTCTTTCGCAGGTCCGGGCTTGTTTTGGTCACCGTCCTCCGCTCCAGTGCTCGGGCTCACCGCGGCTGTCAAACCACACTCGCCCGGATTGCTCTCTACGTCTGCGGACATGCTGCTTTTGCTGTGCTCGCTCTTCTGTTAAATCCAGTGTGAACTTTTGGTCCTTTTATCCAAGAGAAAAACAAAGAAAATCTCAAGATATGACCACATCTAAAAGTTCCTCAATGCACTTGTTGGAAAGCAGCTGTGGACCTCGCTGTAGCTCGCTTTAGCCTCGAAGTAGCTTCCAGCGGCTAACGTGAGCTAAGCGAGCGACCATGCAGGAGTTCCCAGCTAAAACGATCGCTTTTCTGAGCTTAATAATGATCTAACAGCATCAGAAATCCAAATCAAAGTCTGTTAAAAGGCCACCATGCAAAAGACACTAACGCGAACGCCCCCGTGTAGAGTTTTAGGAACTTTAAAAACTCCTCCGGTGCGAAATGCCAGTCCACGCTGCAGCGCCGCTCTGCTCTGCTGTAAACACGGAGCCAGCCCCTAGCGGCCGCTCCGTGTCACTGCAGCTCAGCCTCATGTCACACAGAGACTCAAAAGGACATTAGAGCACGAGGAGGGACCACACGTCCCCGTAGGGTGGTCCAACAATGTTTTTGTAGATTCTCTAGATTAGAACTCTGCATTTGGTTCCATATCTGGCCAAAATATTTGGGTCCAAATTTTATGCAACTTAAATTCATATTTAGAGGACACTTTAGAGGCTCAAGACACTTGAAAATTGTCCTATAGGGCCTAAACTCTAACATAGAACCAAATAAATAAGGCCTATTCGAATAATTTCTCATTTTATTTTGCAAACACAAACTGAAACTTGCATAAAAATTATTTAGACGTTTATAAAAGCTGCTTAGAAAGTCCATAACGTCCATAAAAAGTGTCTTATAAAGTCCAGCTCCACTGTGTGTTTGTTGCTTTGTCACTAAAGATGCTCCTGTGTCTTTGACTCCTGCAGTAGATCCTGTTTCTAATCTTCATTCTTTGTTCTACAGTTTAAATCTTGAATAAACTTCATCTTCTTTCAGCAACATTATTGACACTTTCCTGGATGCACAGTTTGAGCAGCTTCTGAAAGTCTCATCATGAGTCCAGTCTGCTGCAGGAACTGTTCAAAATGTTTCTGGTAGATCAAGAGAAGAAGAAGAAACGCATGGTGTTGGTGGAGGCAAACTCTTCCTAAATCATCTTTTGGATGTTAAAACCTAATGCAGGGTTCTAATCAATGTTATGTGAAACTTGGCAGGTGCTAAAGGAGAAAATCTAAGACTAAAGTTAGACTAAAGTAGAAGTACAAAGAAGTGGTCCAAGAAATAAGAAAAAATATTTGGGAAAGAACTAAGTCAGAGTAACTTAAAGAGTAACTGTTGGGACATAACATCTGATTGTAGTGAATATAACTGGAAGGATAAAAGATGAAATAATATTCAAAGGACAGAGACAAAAACAAGACAAACTAAATCAGATGTGAAGCAGCTGCAAGAAACACAAATGTTCAAATCATTTCAGATTGTCACATGAAGCTTTTGTCACTTTAGACTCACTCACAGTGGGAAGAGGAAACACGACTTTTACTCAAGTAAGAGTACTGTTACTTCATACAAATATGACTCAAGTAGAAGTAAAAGTATGCTGCTAGAAGAGTACTCTGACAAATACAAATTCTTAAAAAAGTTATTCAAACAATAACCAGTACAGACGCTGACACAACCGTTGCTGCAACATTCAAACATCGCAGTGACTCAGATTTTAACTCCACCTAATTTTATGCTCTGGCTGCGGCTTCGTCACATTTAATCAAACTATTTAAAAATGTGCTGCAACTCGAGAAGGTTAAAAAAACTGTTCTACTGTAATACAAATGTAAAAATACTGAAAACAAATATAGTAAACAGAATAATTACCAATGGTCTTGTGTTTAATTCTAGACAGTGGAGGAGGAAGTACCACATAAAAGTACACATACAAAGGTAAAAAGTTACACAAGTAAAAATAAAAGTATCACATGAGAAAATTTACTAAGTGAAAGTATTAAAGTACTTGTTTAAAAATGTACTTTAAGAGTCAAAAGTATTTTGCAGAGTTTCAGAACAGTTACAAGATGAAATGTAATGATTTTGATCAAGAATTTAGCAGCAGATTTTAAGTGATTTTCTATCTGTTTTTGTGTTTTTGTGTATTTGGTTTTCTGAAAGTTTGGGATATTAACATGAATTAAATGCGCTAAAGAAAAGTACTTAAATTTTTCAGTCCAGATCTAAAATATAGTGGAGTAGAACAGATACTTGCTCTCAAATGTAGTGAAGTAAAAGTATCCACTGTATAATGTAAAGTAAAGTGAAGTACAGATACCTAAAGAATACTTTGTTAACCTTGCAGCACTGCCTATGCCTCAGTAAAACATGGTTGATTAGGTAAAGTGCAGATACCTAAAATTTGTACTTAAGTATTGTACTTTTATTTTGTTCGTTGTTACCTTCCAGCCTGAGTCTAGACTGGTGTAGTGTTTTAGGGCGTGTGACGTCAGTTGACCGTGAGCAGGTTGGGCTTCAGTGACAGACAAAGGTGGAGAGGTGCTCCACAGTTTTATGTTTAGTTTTTCAAAAGTGCAAGTGCAAAAAGTGTGAGGTGCAAAATGGAGGCAGACAGCAGTTTCCCTCCAGCAGCAGAACACAGATCGATTTTATCTGCTCTGACTGATTGCTGATTGGGTAAAATACAAAAGTTAAAACCGGGATGGTAAAAATGAACATCAGCTTTAAATATCATCCTAACACTCCATAAAACAAACCCCAAGCCCCAAACTATATACATCAAAACCCCAACACCATTCACCAAGTCAACTTTAAAACCCATACACCAATAAAGCCCATAAACCAAGAGGGAGCTCGATTCTGGGGTGACTCTTTTAGGACTTACACAGAAGAAAAAGCAGGTAAGTACAAAGCAAAACACAACACCATTCATTAACACTAAACTACACGAACACACACAACAACACTTCAAACATTCCAAACAGATATACTGGACCATTTCTATTGCTCTACTCAATTTAAAAGGTAATTGGTTAATTAATAATGTGACCTTTTTCTTCAGGGCCCAGCAGCTGTCAGTGAAAGTGCCATTGTGCCTCAGGATTAAAAACGGGAAAAAGGAAAGACAAGAAATACATTTTTTAAACCAGTTCTGCGCAGTGTCTTTTGTAACATGTGTAAATCAGTGTAAAGTGCTGTGTGTGATCACATGTGCTGTTTGAAAGTGAAGGGTGAAAGTGCTGAGTGTTACTTATAGAGAACTGTGATAGAAATGTAGACTGTGGAAAGGTTTCTCTCATTCTGTCTTTGTGTAAATGAATGTGATTTGTACCTGAAACCCAGAGCAGTCATTAACATGTGTAAAGGTTCATCACACACAACTGTCTCCTCCTTCAGGAAGCACTTTGTTGTCCTCAACTGTATGTTCATTTAGCACCAGCCTCTGAAACCAAAGTCACTCTGCTTTGATATGTATGTAACTTGTATTTCTGGTTAAATACTCAGAGCTCAAATACTGGGGGAGAGACTGGGCAGATACTTGGAAGATGGGGCAAGATGTGGTAGGGACACACTGCTGTTGGAGAGAGGCTGTTGGTCTGTGGTCAGGGCAGGTCTAGGCTCTGTCCATATCTGCTGTAACGAAAATAAACCTTGGTCTATATTCCAAAAACTCATTATTTATCTTCAAGAGATATATCATTTTTGCCACAACAGAACAAAGCAGTGTGTTTGTTACAAGACAAATATTCGTTTTCATAATTGAGAGAAAAAAGGACCTGGCGGACACAGGTAGAGTTTCCTGCATCATTAGGATTGTTAGGAAATCTAAAGCAACATGTTAAATGTCAACTGATTTTTTGTAAGAACTGTTCTGCTATAATCAGAAGACGGTCGCCGCAAATGCTCCAGAGGCACAATCCAAGACTCTAGTTTGATTCGAGCACATTAACAGGGGCCCCGTCTGCTCCTGCCCTACAGCAAAACAACACAGGACTTCAGACTGATAACATCTCACAATCTTCATTTAGTTTTGCAGATGTTGACTTCACTTTACTTTGTATTGCTCAACTTAGGGCCTTAAGCAGCTTTAAAGAATGTTTTGTTTTCATTATTACAAAAATAAAACTGAAAGAGGAAATACAAAACAATTCTGATGATCAAATTTAAACCACACCACTCTTAAAAAAAGGATTTGTTTATTTTGGCTTCGGTTTATACAGTTATTCTGGGATTTCCTTGGCCAGATCTAAATCATTGTAAGATTAACGCTAATGTTTCCTTTGTATCAACATTTCTGTACTTAAAGCCACATTATGTAACTTTGTAGAAGAGGCTCATCACCTGCATGATCCCAGGAGAAAGTTAAAACCAGACTTTTTGTGTAGACAGTTTAATGCCATACTGTGGAATATTACAGTGAAAGGAGCAACATTTCCATGGAAACAAACAGGATGAAGTTCCTCCAGATCAAATAAGAGTCAGGTCTGTGGAGACGCCCACTCAGTAAAGACACATGTTTTTCTCTGTTTTTCTGCAATGAACACAACCAAATTAAAACAAAAACTTACTTTGTGGTAATTTCTTTGCTAAAAAGTGACATAGTGCAGCTTTAAGCTGTTACCTGGGAGACGTTGCAGTGTGTTTGAGTAAGTTTATGCAAATCCTATAAACAAATAACATCAAAGAAAGTGGTTGTTGTTGGTCTCGTTTACATAAGAGCTCACCTCATACTCTGTGCTGGAGGAAGTACTCGGTTTTATTACTTAAGTAAAAGTACAGATACAAATGTGGTCTTAAGTAAAAGTATTAAAGTATATGTTTAAGAATGCGCTTATAGAGTAAGAAGTAAAAGTATTTTGCAGAGATTTTTAGAGCAATTAAATGATGAAATGTAATGATTTTCATAGAAAATTTACACAACAAAAAGTGGAGAGTTAAAATTGACTCTCACAGAATCAATTTGAATATTTTCTCAGGGTTTATCTGAGTCCAATCTGTTCTAGAGTTAAAAGATGCAAAAAAAACCAAGGCACTCACTGGTTCAAAATAAAATGCCTTTATTAGTTTACAGCATGTCTTAATGGACAACTTAAAAAGTCCTGACGCGTTTCAGCCTATGGCTTTCCTCAGGGGACAGGGGACTGTTCTAGAGTTAATTTAACATGTTTGGAAATGTTCATTAAATAACACTGGACCAAAGTTCCTGTTTAACCTGAAATCAAGAGTTACTTTAATGTTTTGAGAGTAAACAGATAACACTTTGTAGAGTTTTCCTGATTTAACGAAACAACACACAGAGGTGTTTTATTTTTACACTTTATTTGAGTTAACTTAAGATGAAATTCTGAACAAAACTGGTTCAAACTGGTCTACTCTCGTGGGAGTTTGAAGTGGTGGTGGGAGGAGCCAAATTAACACTAAGGAA